TGTGTTGATACAAAACTATAGTCTAGACCAGGGGTGGGCAATCAATTTTTACATGGGGCCACATGAGAAACCTGAATTGTGTTGGAGCACCGAACCAACAATAACTTCAACGTCAAATCAGGGGGGTTCACACATACAGAAAAGCAAGCCCAAATAAGCAACTACGACTTAAAAACAAGCCCAAAAAAGTGCACCCGCGACTCACATGTTTTAAAGTGACTTCTGAGAGAAACAAGCCTAAAGTCTTTTATAATAAGCGGACTGAGCAACTATAAGGCGTTTACGTATCTTTTACCGATGTTTAAACTTGTCTGTTCACGAATGCAGATCTAGGATGTACACATGTGCGTCCAAATGGAAATCAAACAACGGCTAGGTTTTTCAAAATAAAAGCAACACACTTGTATAGCATGTTGATGATTTGATTGACAGACCTCACGAAGGGCTGGGCAGGGACATCAAAGGGGCCTGATGTGGCCCTCGGGCCGTAAAATCCCCAGGTCTGGTCTTGTCAGAAGCCAGAACTTTCTGGCCATACAAAGAAAACTTGCTCTTGCTTAGATTTGAACTCACACCCTCTAGCATCAGCGCTTACCTGTCACACTAAGGTGTGGCATATACTTGTTCAGGTATATCTTCTTTCTGTAACATTATGTTGCACGTTCAGGACCCTGGTGGTAGCAGTCAGGCCATGATAGCTTTAAAGGAGTGGGTCAGTGCTGGGGTTTGAACCCAAGACCTGTGCATTTAATACTTTTTCTGCTGTGACTAAGACTGAGTCATCTGAAGTCTCTGTATAAAACTTTAAAAGATAAAAAGAGCATCTTTGTGATATTTTCCTTCTCTGTCAGGTTCTGTTTCCTGCTTTAAAGGAAAATCTAAACCTTTAAGTAGCTTTTTCTCCTCTTAAACATGTTTCACTCCTTTAAGGAAATTCTTGTGTGACTGCTGACATGCTGGATAATGTCACAAAAATGCACAATGTCTCCTTTTAACAAGACGTGGACAATAGTGACGGAAGAACACAAGGAATGGCTGAGCAGGAAGCATGTTGAGGAGGACAGGAAATAGGAAGCACAAGCAGGAATAAACTCTGTCGAAATGGCTGGAGGGAAATTTCCGTTCCACTGTCTTAAGATTCACTTGCAAGCAATTCCTCTGCTGCTCTGTTGTCCTTGAAAGACACAGAGCGTGAACCGTGAACAAAGACTGAGGATTTGAAAGAGAGAGTTATGTAAACCATGGTAAATATTATTCAATATACAAGACACTGACATCAAATCAACACAATCAATGTTGTGTGAGATTTATCTGACATAAGCAAATCATGTGTCTTAGAGACAAAACTAAAAGAATCCTGTACTTCTGGTACTGTGAGGTGGTGACTGTAGGTTTGTACAAGTTTGGGCTAGCAGCCTTTAAAGTAAGGTTATGGTTAAAAACAGGTGGATAGAACTAAACTCACTTAATCCAGAAAAACTATGAATTTGTAACAACCTAAAAGCATGCAGATAACATGCTATATTTCTTAAGTCTTTGAAACTCCTGTGACTAAATCCAGACTAATAATTTATATTGATGCATCCTTATGATGAACGAAAGCAGATAAGACAACCAGCAACAAGACTGAAAATTTTAAAGCTGACATTTTTAATGCTTAAAGTCAGCTGAGCAGCGAGAGGAACAGCCTGATTTTCCACATAAAATGTTCACAATAAAAAGTTCATTTGACTGTCAAAGATGAAATACATTTCTTTTGTCAGAAGACACAACATAAATATGTAGTAAACAAGATAAACAAAGACTGCTTTATCAATTCAAAAATCCCTTCAGAAAGCTTTATTATTTCTGGGTGCAACTGCTATTTACACCTTTTGTATCTGCTTCATGATCTTCCACTAAAATGACTATTTAGTTTAAAAGATATTGAAAAACGATGTCTTCTCACAACTTAAAAATGATGTAAACTTCATTTGCAGATTATGTTTGTTGAGTTGTCTTATTTGCCACGTGTGCTTTTGTGACATTTAGAGTTGCGATTTGTATTACATCAGTTTGAGTTTATTGTAACTGTGTTAGCAGCTGAGGGCCAGCCTTTGTCTTGTAAACATCTGTCTTTCTAGAGTTTTAAATTAACATTTATGTGTTTTCCTTGGTTTTAACATGGATTCATATTGTTGTACAAACTAAGTGGGAAGGCCAGGTTTTGTTCTTTGTAAGTGGTTGTTTTGACACAGTATAAATTCCATTTAGATTAAGTCCCAGAAGAGACCGAGAAAAACAACAACCCACAGCCCTGAACCATTAAACACAGTATAAATGTATTTCCACAGCAAATAGAATCTATTTTATAGAGCCTCTTTGCAATGGCAAAATGAATACACTCCAGGCAATTTCAGTTAAGGGTAAACACATCCATCAAAAATTATATGATTTATTAAATACCTCACCTGCTACACATATCCAAGGATATTTCCTGCTTTGATATGAAATGTGCTTATAAGGCTGTGTTTTCCCTGACAATCTCCTCAGACAGAATAGAGCACTATTTCCATGCATAACTTCACTGTATAATGTTATAATATGTGGAGATAATACACAAGGATGCATACACATACACACACGTTTTTGCAGATATTGGGATCATATAGTGGGACAACACTGTTTTGTTGAGTGTATATGGAGAGTCTAATTACATTGTGAGCAGTGGTAATAAATCACAGAGTCTTAATCAAAGCAATACGACAGAGAGAGTCATCAATCATTTACTACAGCACAACACAACACCGGCCTGTGGAGCGTCTTCTGCCTGGCCGCTCCTCTCCTTGCACGGGACATATCGCAGTGACACATTATCATTAGCACAATCAACACCACTTTGTATGTGCTGACGGGGAGCCATCATGTGGCAAATGGCTATGGAGATGTATGAGGCCATAAAGCTGAATAACACCGACTCTCCATGTCAACGCATGAAGAGAGAAAAATGGCATCTTTTTCTGTGTTTTCTGTTGAAGTACACTAACTATAAGCGGCTTCTCTGTGGTTCTACTTCCTGACAGGGCATCATATACCTGCCTGCTATGATCACGTATTTCAAGCAGCTCGGGAATCTTAAATCTCTGTGTGGACACCTTAAATGTAGTTGGCTGTGATGGATGGCTGAGAGCCAGGTCACCTCAAAGGCACGGTGGTGACATTCAGAATGTGGCTGCTTCAGGTAGAGAAATGACAGATGGCATTTCAATCGAATCTATAAAAATGTGTCACCACCTGAAGATGATTTGACTTCTTGTCCTCTTCTGCCCTACTTTAGATCCAGGTTGCATCCAACATACACCAATAATCAAAAAACTGTCTATACAATACTGGAGGCTAAACCAATAAGGGGGGAAATGCTCAAAATAATATCTATATAAGTGTCCTTGTCCAGTACTCCCAGGGTATTGGTCCTCAATCATGAAATCATCTATTTTAAGTGTCTTGAGGGCTACCATCCTCCATATTGCTTTGGTTTTTAACACATTTCCCTGCTGTTTAACATGAGAGCTCCACTGAGGTGAAATGAAAGAGGACAAGACAGACAGAATAAATAGAACGAGGGAGAGAGGGAGAGCGAGAGCAGGCAGTCATCTATGAAGGACATGGCCGCAGCAATTATTTTAAGTTATCAGTTTCAGAGGCTGTCAATCGGAACATCTCATTAAAAAATCTAAAAAAAAAAAAACCCTGATGCTCCATCAAACCATCAAGATCACTGCAACTAAAGAAAAAAAAAAAGGCCTGCCATGTATTCTCCTCCTCTCTTATCTCTCTTTCCCAACAGGTTTCAAGCAATCAATACATTATGCAGATCTTTGATGACCTCTGCAAAAGGTATTTCCACCATATTTCCTTTGATATAAGAGGAGTGTCAGACAGGTGGATTAATTATGTTCATGTGCCCACAGGCGTGTCTCTTAAAATGCAAAGAAACCCAGCCTCAGGTTTATAAATCATTCTATAATGAGAGATTAAACACCAAGATTCATTAGTACAATGTGGACACAGTAAATCAGACACTTGAGGGGGAAGTCCTCACTAGTCAAGTCGTTAAACTTAATTACATGATCTCAGTTTTATGTCTTATTCATGGTAAGTGCCTCGCACAGCAATTCACAATAAGAGCAGCTCAAAGCTATAAATGTGTAATGTAATTTGTAAAGAAGAAGCCTTTTTGGTTTTATATAACATTAAGGATAACATAATGATGACTGTAGGGGGAAATTGTTCAATAAAGCTTCGAAATCATGTTATTAAAACTAATTATACTCTTATCAAAGCCAAAGAACACTTTCATTAATTTCTGATTTGAAGTAATTATTCTTCTCTTAAAAGGGTCATTTTCACATGTTTTATCCCTGTTTGACTGTTGACTGGTTTTATAGATAATTACAAAAGTTTACAGGCTAAGGCACACGGAGCAAAGCAATTATCGGGTTATTACTACTGGAGTCAGTGCAACTCACTGTGCCATTGTTAAATTGTCTGCCAGTTTCTTGCCCTTACTTTTATTTTCATTTAAAAACAAAACAAAACAGAACAAAAGCCCGCCTTGAATGAAAAGTGCTTGCTTTGTGATTAATTCCCTCATGATTAATTAAAAAAATGTAAAATTGTAAAAATCGGAATTGTAAAACAGCAATCACCTGATCAGGCATCTGCTAAAACTAAAATAATGAAGGAAAATGCTGCCACCTAAAGGATAAATTGTATGCTTGCACATACTCAGTAGACTGTTCACAATGCTGCATTCACTACTATTGGAAATATCTGAATTACATGAAGGAAACTAGCTTACTCTTGTTTACTTTTCACTGCTTTGGAATTGTTTAAGCCCTCTAAAGACATAGACACTCTTTTAATATCAAACTAGCAGGAAACTCAATAAACATGTGTGCCTCGTATTATTTTCTCCCATTATTTCTTGGAAAAATTCAAATTTTCTACTGCCAACACCGGCACTTAAAGACACATTAGTAGCTAAACATGGCGGACGCGGATGAGCCGTAAGTAGCTGATGAAGAAACAAGCAAGAAAACAGTCATTAACTGCCCGAAAGATGCTTTCACATCTTATTAACTTGAGGAAGCACAGCATGAATGAACCTTCTTTTATTCTCTCTTTTAGGGAGAAGAAAAGAAGGAGAGTAGTGGAGCTGACTGAGAAGTTAGTGATGAATTGCTAGAACTGACGGCAGGTTTGAGGGTTACTTGGCAGGAGGAGGAAGGTTAACGTAAGCTAGGCTAACAGGCTGACACTGAAGTGGTGCTAACAGTACCCTGGAATATGTCAGGGACTAAACCTATTAGCTGTGAACGAGTAGTCATCAGGTCCATTCAGTAAACACAGAGCGGTATCATGAATCTCTTGGAGGTTTTAACTGTGCCTTCTTACCATGAACGTGCTAGCCGTCACTTAGCTTAGCCGTGAAGCAGGAGAGTAATGGAAGAGGGTCAGGTACGCCCACCTGTCATAGATATGCAGATTAACTATATCACACCAGAGCGTTAGACATGTTGGGACAGGCGCTGATACAGTAGGGGGACAGGCAAGGCAATCAAACACAACTAGGTTTTAGGCACCTTAGTAATTTCTTGAACTAGTTTAGTTATGCCTTGAACGGCTATAAACAGTGAATAGTTATTGGGCGCCAAATGTAAAAATTCAGTCACCGTTTAATTGGTGACATTTTGTGACACATTTATCAAACTTTTCTCACATTTAGCTTGTTTTTCTTTCATTTGAGACTAAGATTAATGTAAAACAACATGTTCTTTTTATTTGTTAAACATGTTCAGACATGAAAAATGAATTTAAATCTAAATGTTAAATAGAAATATAAATCCTAAATCTAAATGTTAAATATAAATATAAATCCTAAATCTAAATACAAATGTTAAATGTAAATGCTCAATCTAAATCTTGACTATAAATATAAATCCTAAATATAAATATAAATCCTGAATATGAATCTAATTCTTAAATCTAAATCTAGAAATGTATATTTAACATTTAGTTTTAGATTTAGGATTTATATTTAAGATTAAGATTTATATTTAGCATTTAGATTTATTTGTCATGCCTACACATTTTTAATAAATAAGAACATGTTATTTTACATGAATCTCAGTCTCAAATGAAAGGAAAACAAGCTAAATGTGAGAAAAGTGAGCTAACTCTTCACAAAATGTCACCCATTAAACAGTGACTGAATTTTACATTCGATGCCCCATAAAATAGTATCCATACTGTGTTAGTCACTCACATTCTAGAGGTTATTATTTGCATGATTTTTTTTCCCGTGTAATAACACATCATTAAGTGGTGTGCATGCATTTTGTCAATACAGACTGAGATGTTTAGAGATACTGCTGATGATTGATCCTGCTGATGATTGATCCTAAATGGACTTATTGTTGTCCTCAGGATGGTGGTTGATGGATATAATGGACGATGCAGTGAGTGGGAGGGGCGCTGGAACCATATCAAAAAGTTTCTGGAAAGATCGGGACCCTTTACGCATCCTGATTTTGAACCCAGCACACAGGTAATAGTTACAGGTACAAGTATAATCTGTCATCTAGTATTTCTTAAGTATAATATGTATCTTTCACTTCTAACCATAGTCTTTGCAGTTTATGTTGGAGACCTGCAGAATTCTGATCATCGGTGCTGGTGGCCTGGGGTGTGAGCTGCTAAAAGACTTGGTATAATAACCATTTTTGTGCATATGTGGAATATGTAACTCCAGGTTAATATTAACTATTAATAAATAGTAAAACTTTGTGCATTGTCAACATTGTCTTGGCTCAGGCATTGTCCGGCTTCAGAAACATTCATGTCATAGACATGGACACCATTGATGTTTCAAACCTGAATCGTCAGTTCCTCTTCAGGTCAGCAGTATTTATTTTGTGAATATTCTGTAAACTTGGGATTTCTTTGATGATCAGTAAATACAAAGCAAGGAAACATGTTCTCTTAATGCCTGTATGATGTTTTAACAGGCCAAAAGATGTGGGTCGACCAAAGGCGGATGTTGCAGCAGATTTCATCAACAGCCGCATACCTGGGTGCTGTGTGGTCCCGTATCCTTTTGATTTTTATTTGTTTATTTTTGTAAAAAAAAAAAACATTTTTAGGTGCATTATCTTAAAAAATTACCCAACTACAATATACATGATTCATAAATGCTGCAATCAGAATCAAGAATCACAATGTAAGGATGAAGAAACATTTGGGTTGTATAAAGCTGTGAACACTGCTCAATATGGACTTTTTCTCAATGGTTTGTGCAGACATTTTAAGAAAATTCAGGACTTTGATGAAACGTTTTACAGACGTAAGTAGGACTGTGACCATTTATTCCTAACTTTTTGTAATGTCTGGTTGGCAGAGGCCCAGGGATGTAGTCAGCTGAAATTCGAGTTTACTGCACAGTAGCGACTTTAGTGTTTTCACTGAAAATAAACCTCTGGACTTCACACACACTCTGTGGTATATTTCAAATAATATTATGTGATGTTTCACAACTCTGCATCCAAAGTCTTCTGTTTTTCTATTATGAGATTTCATAAATTGTTGCTGTTTGTATTTAATTAATTGATCTGTATGTGATCTTCCAGAGTTTCATATAATTGTCTGTGGGCTGGACTCCATAGTCTCCAGGAGGTGGATGAATGGTATGCTGGTAAGTTGTCTGCTCTGCAATCTTACAGTCCTCTTTCTCTTTAACTTAATGTGTTCACTCTGTTGCTTGCATCATAAACAGGTGGAGTTGCAAGATGTTGTGGTTCAAAGAAATCTTTCAGTCATTCTAATGCAATCCTTATTTCTTTCTGCACAGCTGTCTTTGCTGGTGTATGAGGATGGTGTGTTGGACCCAGGTTCCATCATTCCTCTGATTGATGGTGGGACAGAGGGCTTTAAAGGCAACGCTAGAGTCATTCTTCCTGGCATGTCAGCCTGCATTGACTGTACCCTCGAGCTTTACCCTCCTCAGGTGAGGTGGCAAAACTCTGTATTACTACAGAAACAGTTTCAGTGTGTTTAATGCCTGTCATTGTAGGTAAACTTCCCCATGTGCACGATCGCCTCCATGCCTCGTTTGCCAGAACATTGCATTGAGTATGCCCGGGTGCTGCTTTGGCCAAAAGAGAAACCATTTGGGGGTAAGAAGTGACACTGAAGTTGTAAAGATAGTAGTGAAATAATGTCCTTACATTGATGATGATCTGTAAAAATGACCCGAGGCTTAAAATAACGCACCCTTTGTTACTTTGTTTTTATAAGTAAACTTAAATTCTTGTTTGTGTGGATCAGACGAAGTGGTCCTGGATGGGGATGACCCAGAACACATCCAGTGGGTGTATCAAAAATCTCTGGAGAGGGCAGCAGAGTTTAACATCACAGGAGTGACATACAGACTGACACAGGGTAAGCACACAGAGAACACCTGTCAGCCGGGTGACACAGCTTCTCTTTGCAGAGCTTATTTGGAAGATAAGCCAAAGTACACAAGAGCAAGTGAACTATAGCTTTGTAAATTAACCTTTTTTAGTTGAGCATCCTACACTGTGGCCTATATTTCCTTTGTGTGTTACGATCGAAACAAAACTGCCTTACCAGTTGCCTTGTTTAGCAGATTGATGAGAGCTTCTATTTTTGTAGCTGTTGTTATGTACATGTAAGATTCAACAATGATTTCTAAGTCTTATTAATGTTTTGCAGGAGTTGTAAAGAGAATAATTCCAGCTGTTGCCTCTACAAATGCTGTCATAGCTGGTAAGTTGTTAAAACTGAATAGATATTAAACTTTTGCCATAAAGTCATGTGGAACTGATGCTTTTTATGGGAGTTATGACCTGCCTTATACGGATTAATCATCTACCAACAGTATTGTGTGTATTAACTTTATGTACACAGACATGATGACCCAGAAATAACACTTTTACTCTCCTCTGATCTATTGAACCAAGCTGCTTGTGCCACAGAGGTTTTCAAAATAGCTTCAAGGTGAGATTGAATGCTCTACTGCTCAGTTATATGCACAAATCGAAGATCTTGATTTACCACACATGCCTGAAAATGTTTCTCATCATGTAACCTTTAACATTTACAGTGCCTATATACCTCTCAATAACTACATGGTCTACAATGATGTTGACGGCCTGTACACCTACACATTTGAAGCAGAGCGGAAGGTTATCAATAATTACAGTTATTTTTTGCATGTATGTTTGCCACATTCATAAAGATTTTTTTTGTTGAAAATGTTTCTTTTTGTTTGAAATACAGGAAAACTGTTCAGCTTGCAGCCAAATACCCGTGGACTTGAACTTTTCTCCATCCTCCAAACTTCAAGAGGTTTTGGACTTCTTGACTGAGAGTGCCTCACTGTATGTTTCTCTACCTGATTAGAATCTATTACCAGTGGTTATACTGTGTAACTATTTCAAAGGTTATATTTGCTTCAAGAATTGTCCTCTACAAACAAATATGTGTTCCCCCCCACCAGACAAATGAAATCACCTGCTTTAACTGCAACAGTGGAAGGAAAGAACAAAACTTTATATTTACAGGTAATAGACCTCTGGGGTTACAGTGTTTTGTTTTTAGTTGGAGGTTAACAGGTGTGACCTGATGAAATATCAGTATTAAGTACGTTATTAAGGGTTTTACTTTGAGCTGACTCTCAACTGTTATTTTTGTTCCAGTCTGTCGCTTCCATTGAACAAAGGACGCGGCCAAATCTGTCCAAAACCTTGAAAGGTGAGGTGCTTTATGTATTGGTGTGCCTTCACTCTGGATTAGTTGAATAAAGAGACTCTGAATGTGCTTTTTCACTTGAATTATGATTCACGAACATGTTTTTTTCCAGAGCTGGGCCTGACTGACGGACAAGAGCTAGCTGTTGCTGATGTCACCACACCCCAGACCATGTTGTTCAGACTTTGCTTCACTTCCTAGGATAGACTGAAGCACTCCCACACACAGCTGATGTTATTTGTTTATGTTGGCCAACTATGACTTGATGCAGGTTATTTAAAACAGCCTAAAAAAGTAGGACATTTTACAGTGCACCAGATCACAGAGTAAATGGCTGTAGCTGATTCTCTGGTTTTATTGTTCTCATCGATTCAAGTTAATGTTATGCACTGAAAAGCCAAATGGTCATTGATATTCATTTTCTGTAAATAGCACAGATTTTTGTAATTCAGTTTCATCCGCACTACATCCAAAGGTGTACTCTGAGCAAACAAAGAGACAAGCATTTGTGACTTTGTAAAAACATGTTCGATACTTGTTTTTGGTTTTGGATATCTCTTAATATTTATTTATTCTGACATCTTTTTCATTGAAGTAACCACTGGGGTGGGGCTTCACATATGTCAATATGTTTTGTGAACTGGAATAAAATGTTTTTCTAACATTGACCTGTTTTCTCTATGTTGCTGTATGTGTTGATGGAAATTAGGTCATAAACACTCTTAAGTTTATGATGCGTCAAGGGGAGGAGGTGTGTATTCATTCAAGACTTGATACTCGTGTGTACAGGCTATTCAGACATATCATGTTTACGGCTATGACTTACGTGATTAAAAATCAACATTTTTATTTCATTTTCATACTTTATTTCATTCAGTTAATAATTAAAACATTCAATATGGGTTTGAAGGATCTCTGTATTGAGCTCTACTAATAATTTGTGTTGCTCTTTTTTTTTTGTAAAATGAAAATTGGCTGGATGGATGTTTTGCATGCACTTCTCCACACTTCAACACAGTAGGTCAGATATGGAACAATAATCGAATTATACAAGAGGTACAAAGCTTTATTCTCTAAGTAGTCCTTTTCTATGTTTAAGATAGCAATCGCTTTTGCTATTTTCACTTTTATTCCATTCATATGTGATTTCCAGGTCAATTTATCATCAATAACAACATCTAAACAATGTATGTCATTTACTCTATTAATCTCAATATCTTCAATATTTACTGAGGCATCAATGTATTTGCCTTTGCCACCCAATAGCATAAAGTTTGTAAAGATTCAAATGAAATCACCGCATTGTATTTTATTTTTTCAAATACGTCCACCTTAACTTGCTGAGATATAAATAAGAATGTAGGTCAGTGGAGGATTTCTCGTGTGCTGACTTTCTCGCAGCATTTCTCGCCCAATCAGACCGGATCGTGACGTCATGGTGCTACGTGGAAAGGAAGTAGCTTCCAGGCTAATGCTAGCTGCTAAAGTTGAGAGCGACCAAAACAAACGATGACGGCTGAGGCAAAGAGCCGAAAAAAGCTCGGAATGGACGCGGAAATTTGATTCGCTTTGAGAAGCTAGATGCGGTATTATATATACCCACATTTCTTCATGGCAGATTCGTTGAAATGCGGTTATTTCCAGCGCTGACTGACCAGTATTTCGAGCTCTAACTGTATCTGGGATCGATGGTCTTGTACACTGTAACGTTGTGCGTTGGCTAATTTACAGTTCTGCTAGACTAGCTGTGAAAGAAGCAAAAAATAGTCTGCAATTACGAAATACAGCTCGTAGCAGGTTACCTTGACAACAGAAAATGGAATGACAGGAACGGTGACTGTTCAGTCTTGTTACACCGAGTTCCCTTCACGATCTCTGAACATTTTCTGTACTTGGTGGTAGCCTAGCTAGCCTGACAGGCAGGATGAGCTGGTTCAATGCATCTCATCTGTCCAGCTTCGCCAAACAAGCTCTAACAACAGCTCAGAAGTCAATCGATCGGGTTCTGGACATTAAAGAAGAGGACCAATGGGGGGACACAGTTGTTATGCCCTACGATGGTGAGTAGTGAAACATGCCATATGAAGATTCATTTGCTTTATGTTTACTCCTTTAAGTGGTTCAATCTGTGTTTTTAGATGTTACACTGCCTGAAAAGCTGTCATTAAGTGGAGGATGGGGAATAACTCAGTGGGAGGCACCACCCGAAGAAAAGACCACCACTCCCCCGCCCTCTTCTGAGGCCATCACTACTCCTGTCACCCGCACAGTTGTTGATGAATCTGAAAACTTTTTCAGTGCCTTTTTGCCACCAGGAGATGTTCAAGGTGTCACCAAAACTCAAGTCGTCTCTGTGCCTCCTACTAAGTCCCAAGGGCGGCTTCAGGAGAAGGAAAATAAAAATAACAAGGCTGTGGTCCAGAAAGAAGAGGAAAGTGAAGAGTCAGAAGCTTCTGATGAGTGTAATGACGATCTGGAATCTGCTGAAAACCAACCAGCCGAGCCTGAGTCTTTACCAGCAGCACCTTACACAGACACTATCCTTCTTGAACCTGTTTCTCCTGCTTATTCTTCCAGCAATCTTTCTGGTACAACTGACACCAAAACAAACCATGTAGAAGAAGAAGTTAGCCCAACAGTCCCTGAAGACTCAAAAACAGAGCCATCACAGGCACCCTCTGATCACAAGATTGAGCAGGATAGTACAGATTCTGCTGAACCCTCTGCTGTCACCTCTGGATCTAAAAGCTCAACCCCATCAGAACCATCACCCACTCCTTCCTCAAAAGAAGTACCTATTGAGCATAAAGACTCAAAGGTGGAGGACCGACAAAGTGATACCCCCTCTCCACCGGTCAGTGCTTTCTCCTCAGGAACCTCCACTACCAGTGATATTGAAGTGCTAGACCATGAGTCTGTGCTGAGTGAGAGCTCTGCCAGCTCCAGACAAGAAACAGGTGAGGGCAAGGCTGGCCTTCATCTGATGCAGGGCTCCTTCCAGCTCCTCACTGCCTCCACCTGTGGAGACTTCCCTCGCTTGGAGGACTACTCCAAACTAACAGAGAGCTGCGGCTCTTCCTCTGATGCATTTGAACGCATAGATTCATTCAGTGTACAATCATTGGATAGCCGAAGTGTCAGCGAGGTTAACTCGGATGACGAGATCCCTGGCAGTCGGACACTTGCGTCTGTCACGGCAGGCCCTGCTCCTTTAACAGAGTCATCGGCTGTGTGTCAAAAGCAAGACAATGTGGTAGTGGAGAAGGTAGAAGAGGAGCATGATGAGGAAGAAGAGGGAGGCTTCACTGAATCAGTGAGGGAGCAGTCACTCGACGAGATGGAGGAGAGTGGAAGGAGTGCAACGCCTGTCAACAGTGAGCAGCCTGAAGAGTTACTAGAACAGGATTCAGAGAAAAATGTCACGCTCTCTGATGCCACATGCATGGTGGAAGATAAAATCATTCCACCAATCACAGAGGAGATGAAAGGTTTCTCAACAGTTCAGATTTTGGAGCTCCAAAAGGTACCAGTTGGTATTTTGTACTCATTAAATGTTTATGTTGATTTGAAACTAAAAGTCTGTGAAGTTGATACAGCTGTGTAGATTACACCCTAGTCTTAAACAGTGTTTCTGCCCTCACCAATACATTTTGACAGGCGTATTTGAGGGATATTTGTAACACATTCTAAAGAACAAAGTATGCAGTAAAGTAGAGATATTTATTTGGTACACAATAATAAAAAAGGTTAATTTTTGAACTATGAATTAAGTAAAATGCATGTATTGAAAAAATACTTGAAAACCTCTTTAGTACTTTGCACAACATTCCCTAGAATGCAATAACCAGTGGGATTTATGTGACCCATATCCATATATCCATGTCAGTTTTAAAACCCCTTCAAGCAACCCTGTGCTTGTTTCCTTTCTGTTTATATCCCTGCCTTACCATGAGTTTAAAGACAGCTGGAAACAGGTGGTTAAATAAATCATCTTTCTTTTCTGTTCTGATCGATACGTTTTTCTTTAGTGTCTCTACACTTGCTAACAGAAAAATCCTGTGGCCATTTCTTAGGTCATTGATGAGCTGTCGGGACGCCTTGAGAAGAGAGAGTCCCAGCTGCTGTCAGTCAGCAAAGACAAGGCCAAGCTGGAGGAGGAGTGTGACAATCTCAAAGAGTGCGTTTATGGTTCTGAATGTCATGTTGTTGATATGTAAAAATAGAAATGCCTAGATTACACTAAGCTTTGTGTTGAGCCAAATTCGTATACCCCCTAGTGCTTGTTGACAGGCTTCTGGAATGTTCAACTGATGTTCATTAACATCAGCTGTTTGTTGCTACCTGTGCTGTCTTGGCCTTGAGACTGAAAGATGTGGATGATGAGTTCTCAAACTAATGAATTTGTTCATCCTCCAGTGAAGTGGTAACCTTGAAGGAAGAGAGCTCCACTGTTCAGTCCTTGAAGGATGAGTTCACCCAGCGCATAGCAGATGCTGAGAGGAAGGCTCAGCTGGCCTGCAAAGAAAGAGACATCGCCAAGAAGGTAACTGGCATATTCTCATCCTTAGTTATGCCTCGTATTAGCTTTTTAAAACTAACTGCTGTATACCTGATTATTCTAATGTTCTAATTTTAGGAAATCAAGGGGTTGCGAGAAGAGCTCTCTACAAGACTTAACTCGAGTGACACGATGGAGATCATCAGAGAGAAGGAAGAGCAGATCAGAGGACTGTTGGAAGAAGGTGAGACTATACTACGTTTTTCAAGTTCTTGAAAAGTTGCTCAACTTCTTAAAAAGCATGTACCAAAAGCATTATTCAACTGGCCAGTTAAAATTATTCATACATTAGTCTTGAATGAACAGTCGGTGGATGGTTTAAATGGCAGCATCTGACTACTTACCTTGTAAAAGAAACAAAAGGTTCAAATAAAAAAGTGCTTAGACACACATGGTATCAGCTCAATATCTGCTTCTAGCTTTACAAGGGTTTTCATAGCTGTTCATTTCTGTCATGTTCAGGTGAAAAGCTGTCCAAGCAGCAGCTGCAACACAGCAACATCATCAAGAAACTGCGTGTGAAAGAGAAGGAGAGCGATGGGAAGATCATCAAGCAGCAGAAGAAGTTAAAGGAACTGGATGAGGAGCTCAAACAACTGCAGCAGGTGAGTCTTTTGTGTGTTACACTTCACAGTTATTGCCACTTACTCCTGCTGTTTCCTTCTGTGTAGATCTTTTCTTGTGTTGTACTTACTCTTAAATGTACGTCACTTTGTGAGTGACATTGTTTCCCAGTAAAAATGTAAATTTAACAATGGAGATAACATCTCCCTGGCAGTTTTAAAAAAGGGTGCTCTAACCATTTTGTAGTCTATTCCACCGGGTAAGCCAAGGAGCAGTGTTGTAGTTGCTCTTTTTGTATCAGTTTCAATGAATTTTAATCAAAGGCACTTTTATCTGACTCAGTGTGCTAGTTTCAATTATATATGAGGTTGGAGTTTTCAGTTCTCATTGAAAAAAGATGCGGTTTTTGATGTTCAAACAGATAAAAGTCTTTGATTAAAGCGTGGGTAATATTGGTCAGAGAGATGAAAGAGTGATTTAATACAATTTTATTTCAAAAGAAAGATTGATTTATGTAGTGCCACTGCTATTGATGGAACTTACTTTAAAATGAATATGACCCTCACAAATTTATTCATGTGGAGTAAAATTTCCACTTGTTTCTCCTCTCTGAAATTATAAATCCACCTGAGCCACGCTAGTGAGACTTACCAAATAGCTACAAACACACCTATGAACCATGCTGCTCCGGCTACTTTTTGTTTTCTGAAGGCTTGCAGTAGATTTGTGGGTTTTTTACATGATGATTGATGGAGCAAGCTGGGTCAAATCAAAGCCATTTTGTAATTGTAATTGTTCAAATACAGGGGAATAGTAAATAAACAGTGTTCATATAGTGCTTTCTGTATTTTACTGACCATTCAATGGGCTTTTTTTACCAACATTTACCCATTCACACTATATTCATACGCTGATGGGAAAGGCTGCTTTATAAAGCACCTATCAATAATAATTAATCCCAGTCACGCACCGCTGGCAAAGTTTTGGCACTTAGTACACATTAACATGTAGCGTTGGTTTGTTCGTTTGTCTGTTAGCAACTTTACAGAGAAAGTAACAGAAGGGGTTGACCTGAAATTTTCACCAGAGGTGCGTCTCAGCCCCAGGAGGATCCCATTACATTTTGGTGGTCATCCGAACAAAATTCTGGATACTGTGATCCAGAACACACAAAAAAAGGCTGTTGTTGGAATTTTCAATGCTGAAAGATAAGGAATTGGTGGCAAAGTGGTGTAGATAGGTGGCACAGTGGTGTAGTGGGTAGCACTGTCGCCTCACAACCAGAAGGTCCTGGGTTTGAATCCTGGTAAGGGCATTTCTTGTTCAAGGGGGGACATGAGCTGCTTGGCGGAGGTCTGCGCTCTCTGACTGCTTTTCTAGTTCTGTCTTTGTTGTTGTCTCACGATCCTTTTTACTTCAGTCTTCAAGTATTAAACCAAATGTATCTTTTTTAGGAACCTGTATGATAGTTGTATGTTCAATATATTAGGCTTCAATTCTGCACATGATTTATGTGTAAAGGTTCTAGATGGGAAGGAGGAGGTGGAGAAGCAGCACAGGGAGAACATCAAGAAGCTGAATGCTGTGGTGGAGCGCCAGGAAAAGGAGCTGAGCCGGCTGCGGTCAGATTCTGAGGAGCTGCAGGAGAAGAATAGAAGCATCCAGGCCGCTCTGGACAGCTCATACAAGTAATCACAAACACAGCCTGTAATACATGCTGAATGGACTTGAGAGGAGCTTTTTCTGTCATACTAATCTCACAGGGAAAAAAAATGTCCCACTTTATTATATACAACTCCATTAGTGATAAAGATTACAACAGACTGAATAGAGGCACTTTTATTTCATGCTAACCTAGTCTGTTGGAGTTGAGATGAACAGTAATACTGAGAGTGAAAGTTGTATTTCTACTTTTTCAATATAGTTATCTAAAATGTAAGTATTTTTGGATTACAGTAAAGGTACTCACAGAAATACACAAAAATCCCATCTTCATTGTGGATTTCAGATCAGATTAGAAATGTTTCAGTGTTACTGCATGCAGGAATGGCTCTGTAATGCTGATTGTTTTTCTTTTATATCAAGGGAGTTAGCAGAACTTCACAAGGTGAATGCCAGCAAAGCTAGTGAGGCTGAAGAGGTCGCTCTCAGCAGGGAAATACAGGCCAAGGAACAGCTGAGTCTGGCTCTTGAGAAGGCGCAAGAGGAGGCCAGGCTGCAGCAGGAGGCCTTGGCTGATCAGGTAACGCCGGCACATGCTGCAGACACACCAAAGAACAATTTATCTGCTGTGCAAGTAATGAAACTGAGCTCAATTTGTATATATTAGTGTACATACACTACACATTAAAGAAGCCTTCAGTTTATCACCTTAATTCTATCATACAAGTCAAAGGCAAAGCTGTTTGTTGCACCAGGTTTTTACTTGTGTAAGTTGCTATGTTTATGCCCTTTGCCCTGTGTTTTCCTGTCATAAACTCTTACATACTGCTTTAGGCTGAAGTAGTTGATACCCTGACTTTGATCTGCTTTTATCCACAAGTAAATGCTGCAGGATACACTATAAGAACTGAGTGATAAAGTGAATGTTTACAACACTGCAGATGCTACACAGGCCTCATTGTAAATATCCACTGAACATTTGGCAGTTCACTTAAATTTGTATACAGGTGAAGAGTGCAGAGCAGTTTCTCGTAAATTTTTACCCTTACTTTTTTACTCAAAATACAAAATAGGTTATACATGAATTCTTTCTACTGTTGTGCACAGGTGGCTGACCTGAGAGTGGCTCTGCAGCGTGCTGAGCAGCAGCAAGCAAGGAAAGAAGATTATTTGAGGGAGGAGATCAGTGAGCTGCAACAGGTAACCTCATATGCCTGGTAGAAGGTGTGCCAAGAAGCCGGCTCCCTTTGACAGAAGACAAATAAAACAAAAGTTTTACAAGGGTGGGGTTTTATGTAATTTTTACAATTTTGGATCTTGTCTTCCACAGAGGCTACAGGAGGCAGAGACCAGGAACCAGGAACTCAGTCAGAGCGTTACTTCAGCAACACGGCCCCTACTGCGACAAATTGAGAACCTACAGGCTTCACTGGGCGGGCAGACAGCATCCTGGGAAAAATTGGAGAAGAACATCTCTGATAGGCTTGGTGAGAGGGACAAACCTAACTCTTCTTTTATAAGTCATAAATACAAAGTGAAGAGAAAACCTGAGGTGTTTTTGGCATCTAAACAGCGGATGCCCAGGCACAGTTGGCCATTGCTGTGCAGAAGGAGCGATCAGCAACGGAGGAGCTGATATCCATCAAGTCCCAGCTTGCTTCTTTGGAGTCCCAGAATTCCCTTCTCCGCCAGGAAAAGGCAAGAATCCTGGCACAGCTGGAGGCAGAGAAGAACAAAAGAGAGAAACTTGAGGATGAAAGCAGCAGGTAAAAATTACAACTTCAAACTCCAACCTGTAAGGTCGACTGAGAAGATACATCCTGCTGTTCTTTTTTCAGTTTCAGTGTTGAGTGTCAGAGTGATTGAGATGCATTTTAGTGGGTTATCTGAAGTTAAGAGAGGGACAAGGGAGAATTTTCTGAGAAAATTAAGGACAATTAAGTGAATCTTAAGCTGCATTCAGTTTCTTTCTCCAGATTTGTAAATACATGTGTTTGTGAAAATTAATGGGGAAGTCTTTCTGGTTTCAATAAATCTTGTTAAAGTGTTCGGCAGGATCTTGTCACAGTATCTTCTCATGTAGTGCTTGTGCTTCTTGTAAAGCACTGGTTTTACTACCAGCCCATTTGTGAGTCAGAGTGTTGCAAGCATGGCTGTGTGAGCTCGGGGGAGGGGACTTCCTCATAGAGGAAGCAGTCATGCATGGTTATCTGTTGTGAGCAGACTCTGCACCTCCATCAGGGCCAGTGGCGCAATGGATAACGCGTCTGACTACGGATCAGAAGATTCTAGGTTCGACTCCTGGCTGGCTCGAAACTTTTCTCTGTTTCAGGAAACAGTTAAAACAGAAACACACTGATACTGCAATAAAATCTCCCTTTAGTCTCTTACCGACTCATCAAAAACTGCACTGAAAGAAAAGTCTTCTCAGTTAGGTTTTATTTACAGCTCTTGGCTGTTTAAGAAAAGTGTTTGATACTTTATGTAATTGCAGATAGTTGTTAGATTTCACACTATTACATCAATGTTCTTGAGTTCTTGAAATTGTTTGATGTTCTTCCATTTTTGCTTCTTTTACCCAAGGGAACATGTTGAACTGGAAAATCTGCGAGGAGAACACAGTCGGATGTTGGAAGATGCTAAAAAAGAAAAGGTGGCATAATGCTCTTCTCCATTCACATTGTTACCTACCATGAAACAATTCACTTTAACAGCATAATACTCCTTATCCCGCTAGCTGCTGCTGTCCAACCAATTAGAGATGGAGAAGATGAAGGTGGAGCAAGAAAAGAAGAAATGCTACTTGGCACAGGAGGCACTCAAGGAAAAGGTTTGAGTGAACTGAAGACATTCATGTAAACAAAGCGCCATCCTTACTCTGCTTTGTATGTCAACATTTCTTCATTCAATTTTTTTTTAAATTCTGTGTTGTGTTCAGGAGCGGAAGGTCATGACCCACTCTGTGGAGCCCCCAGCCTCCTCGACACCCTCCCTCTCTCGCTCCAGCTCCATCAGTGGAGCAGACAATGCTGGCCTGCACATATCAGTTCTTTCTCAGGTGCATAAACAGGGAAAATGTTCTCATGTAAAGCTCATAATTTGTTCTTTAGTGCTTATATTTATGCAGTTTGACAAGCCCTAAATTTTGGTGTGTTCCTCAAAAGGATGACGCTTCAGAGCACTCTCTGGGTACCATGACTATGTCAATGTCCATGAGTGGGACCAACCTGTATGAGGTGGCTCGGCTGTCTGGAGGCTCCAGCATAATAGAGAACCTTCAGTCTCAGCTCAAACTCAGAGAAGGGGAGATAGCACAGCTGCAGGTAGAAACTCAGAACAAACTCATAAAAACTACTTGGTTTGAATTGCTGATTATTTTATGACACATAAACACCAGCTGTTGAAACTTTAAATTGTCTTTTAAGTACAAAAGATAGCATGGTACATGCATCAACAGCACAGAGGACATTTTGGGGACAGAAGCTATAAATTGCTGATAATGTATCGGTGGGTTTTATCTCCTTTCCTCCTACTGTTACAGCTTGAAATCTCCAGTCTGGAGAGGAGTCGTTCTGTGATGGCTGAAGAGCTGGTTCGACTCACCAATCAAAATGATGACATGGATGAGAAAGTGAAGGAGATCCCTAAGCTGAAAATTCAACTCAAAGTAAGGGGTGTCGAAGAAAAGTTCTTTCTTGACTCTCAAGAGGTCATTTGTTTCCTGAGGCTCTTCTAATTTTTGTTTTTTTTTTGTATTTCAGGATCTGGAGCAAAGGCACAACACAATTCTTCAGATGTATGGAGAAAAGGCGGAAGAGGCTGAGGAGCTAAGACTAGACCTTGAAGATGTGAAGAATATGTACAAAACCCAGATTGATGAACTGCTAAAAAATCAGAAATAAAAATGTATTCTCATGTTACTTCCGGGATAACCCATTTGAATCGAGAGTGAAGATAAGACCTAATCACAGTGTCAAATGAAAGATAGCCTGTAATGTACACTAATGATCACATACAACATTTGAGTTGGGATTGTTCCTGGCATATAATGCTTTATTACAGAATCAGTATGAAGGAAAGCTACAGTTCATGATTCAGGGGTCCATTTGAAATCATTAGGACTTAGTACAGACTTGCTTTAGATCGTTTTCTCATGGCTGACTCTTTCACATAGTATCTTTTGGACAGTTTATAAAATTAGGAGGCGGTGAAGCTTTTTGCACTATACAAATTCATCCTTGTTTATTTCCTTTTGCATTATCAGAATGGTTTAAAAATAATATAATTATATTGTACAGAAAAAAAAGTATGTTCTTAACTCCTTCTTGATCACAGGATGTGGTGTAGACTTGACAGTAGTCTTTGATTGAAGTCCTGGAGAACCTTATAAATATGTATATGAATAAACATTTATTTGGGTGGTGAGGAAACATGGGTCGTAATTCAGATCATGTAGAGTAACACGTGAGAAATATAACATCAAATAAAAGACAAACACTTTCAGTGCCACACAGAACTCTTCAAATAAATCTGAATACTCTTCATGCAGTTGTCCACTTCATTGTAATAATTTTCTCAAAACTGACACATTCAATCGTCAACATTACTACAGAGCCTTGAAATGAGAAAGTAAAATACTTGCAAAGACAAAAGATACCCTGTCTGTCTTTACGTTATCAACAACTCGGTAATCTTATACAATCCAGTTCAACAGCTTCCTAATTTTTGTTGACATGATTAGACAGGTGACTATTACACTTCTTATTTATCACTAAAGATGTAGTGGGTGGTGGTGTTATACTGGAGTGTGTAACATTAAAATCTATCTCTGATACTTTGTCCTCATTCAGGGAGTAATGTGTTAGGAAAACCTCTAAACATAATTCAATAAACAACACCTGCAACTTCAACAATTAATTTAAAGATAATTTATGACCTGTTGGACAAAAGTAAAATCTGAAAAGATAGAAACTTAATAAAAGTAGTAGGGGAGAGTGTGGTAGGATGAGACATTTTTCATATTTCGGATCACTACATTAAAGCAAACATAGTTTTGTCTCCAACTAGTGTATCTGCATATATTTCAAGATGTTGTGCATCCCTGCAAACCAACAGAATGAGTGTAAACATAACTGTCTTGATAATATAGCATGCCAAAAAAACTGTGTATGGGGTAAGTTGACCATAGGAGCGGGGTAAATTGAACTGTATCCCTATTACCCCCCGACTCTCCACCCCAGCAGTGAGAAGTGAGTGTGAGCTGAGGTTAAAGTGTGGTGCACAGTGCCACCCTGTGGTTGTTACTGAACACTGCATACCGGTAAGAGGTTTCCGGTGTTATGGCGACCACCGGCAACATCTTCACTTCGGTGTGGAGGACGCACGGCTGTGCTGTCGGGTAAACTACCTCTATCTAAAACTCTAACCAGCCGCCTGCAGACTAAAATTCGAGTGCAATACCAACCCATAGTCCATTTTATATCCTAGAAATGTGAAGTGTTTTTCCTGTCCGGTTCCTTTGTTGCCTCTAGTTTAAAACAACGCGAATGGGTGTCGTCTGGGTAAGGATGCAACGCTAATAAAATTCAGCCTCTAGGTAATTATGTCTTAAATTAACTAACTCTGGAAATGTCGCTGTTGCCAAACTATTATCTCTTAAGTAAAGCCTTATTAACGTTACTTAACTATCTCTCCGCTTTATCTGTGAGTGATATTGGCGGTTTGCTGTCTTTTCTCAGATACTGGTTTATTGTCGGTTGCTAAAACTTTGAATGATACATTATTGAAGCTCTTTAGCTTAATAAAATGAGATTTGCTCATTTGCTCGGATCAGTAAGACCAGAATATAGCACACGAAGGCTAAATTAACTTAAGCTTTTAATAAACTCCAACGTAATTCGATAATACGGAGGTTAAACATGAAGACGATAAGTAATGCAATCAAAAAGGCCCCAGGGAGCTCTCAGTGTTGTGTTTTCACATGTCGAGTTTTAGTTCATTCCCAGGTAAAAATATTTCATATGGAGCTGTGTATTTGGCAGCATTCACCCACGCAGAAAGTAAATAGGATTTTCAGATGTTGGAAACTTTCAGTACATTTGTAACATATATGTAGTGATACTGCAACGTTTTATCAGCTATTGTGAACTAATCCACTCTATTGGAAACTTTTTATCTGCCCGTCTCAGATCATCTTTTAAATGTAAAAGTGTGTCTGAGCCACTTTGATAAAGTTTAATTAGGCAGTGAGGAATGCCATTGGTTTTGGGCTGTCCACGCAAATGGGAAATATGTCCATCTGTAAATGCTAGTTTGGCCATCCGGACCTGCTCAGTACCAATCACATGAGTGCCAGCCAACAGTTTTTATGTGCTTCTTCAGTCTCAGTTGTAACTGCTCAGACAACAGTCGGAAAAAGGGTCAGTTATACTTCCTGCAACAGGACCTTTCCTTATGAGGTTCTCAGATCCGCCTGAGGCTGTGGTCTCACACACTTGCCTGTGCCCACATGCTTTTCTACTGCGGTGCTGGGCTTTTAACTAAGATTACAGAGTGCAAGTCTGAGTCTGTGTGTCTGTCTCTCCATCTTCAGGGTGCTGTGAAAAATAGCAGCTGTCTCACATGTCTGTGTGACTCTGACTATGCTGCTCTTGGTAACGCTGGGCATAGTTTTTTCTTTCACTGTGGTCACCGCCGAGAAGACTGAGAACATCAACCACAAACCACCACCAGCACCGCCGCTCAACTACAGCACAATCTCCCTGCCGCCAGAGCACGTACCCTATTTCCTCAACAACAACAAGAGGGTCGCCAAGCAATGCCGCCAGGACCCGCTCTGTCCTTTTAAAGTAAGATATGCACTTTGTAAACTTTGTACTTCATTTTTTTCACTTTAGAGTTGTGGCATACTCTTTGACTTTGATGCACTGTGTGGAAAAGCTCAAACAGTCATTTAAATCAGGACTGAAAGTAGCATGAATACTTTAAATTATAGTGTCTTTTTCTTTGTTGTTGTATACTGACATTTTTATTTGTTTTGAATCATCAGTTTAACAGATATTGTCCTCAGTCATTCAATCATTCAGCTAGCCTTTAAGGATGTAAGTTATCAGTGTGTTTGTGTTTGTGGATACTTTGGTTAATTTTTTTTTAACCTAATGGTTCGGAGCACAAATAAAACTTAATTTCAAAAACAAAGAACATTTGTTTTGCTCACAACTCTTACCTTTTGTCTATCTTGTCAAACAAATGTGGATTCATTTAGTCTTCTGACAGACAGGCAAACTTTAACACACTGTTTACCCTCTCACTCTGAATCACAGTTTGTACCTTGTAGATGTTAAAATAATCACAAGTTTCTTTCTCAAAAAATATGATTTGATTGTTAACTCAAACCCCGACATCATGTGATTTCCTCCTTACTTAAATATCATTACTTGTTTTTCCAACAGGATGCACTGCAGAATCCATCAGCCTGTTGGGGTTATGAGAAAAAGTGTGATCCAGGAACACGCTTTGGTTATCCAGTCTGTACCAAGGCTGACTCAGGATGGTACTATCCCTCACTTTGCATTCTAACACCTTTGCTCAGATATAAAGCTGCAGCTGTGATTTACTTTCATATTCAGCCATACAACCATCTATTATGTATAAGCTATTTAATAATCATAAGTATAACAAATAACAGTCATGTCTTATTCACAAGTAGTGAATTTCGTGAAGTACAGTGTCTATTATTTATTTTAAGTTAAGGTGTGCTCATTCCGACCATGCATCATTGATGATCCAGTATGGTTTTGGCCTTGCTGAACGGCATGAATCTCTGATCTGTCAGGGCTCGTTCACTGGAGGCAGCCCAGGATCTCTTCTGGAGACAGGCTGATTTTGGCTATGTAAAGGAGCGCCTCTCTGAACTCAAAACACTGTGCAAGGCCAGCAAGCCGGTAAGTCTGCTCATTTCCTTAGTTCCCACGGGCCTAATGGGTCAACAGGAAGAAACAACAGGTGCAAACAAACACAGCGTGAAACAAGGATTCCACACACAATGGGCCTGAACATTATTTACAGTGGTGCAGGTATATTAGTGAGAAGACTCAAACCAAAGGTTTAGGCTCCTCTAGCATCATGTAAATATATGATAGTTTTACTCTGATTATTTTCCAGGGGGACTCATCGTTAAAATGCAGTAGCCACACTCGTTTCTGTAAGGCAACCAACCTTTACATGGACTTGCGTAACCCGCGCCGAGGTCATGAGAGGTCAGCATATCTTACACTGTTTCGTACATAAATATGCATAAAAAAGACAAGAAGAATAGGAATCACTTAAAAGCTAAACTGTTGCAGATACAGGGAGGACTTCATCCAGAAGGGTGAGCTTGGTGGCCACTGCAGACTGAACAAGCAAGCACTTGCTGCTGAAGGGGAGCACAAGAGTCCCTTACAATCTTGGTGAGTCAGATACACATTTACAACACACTCTGAGTGAGTTTATGCCAACAGGTCAGGGATTTGTAAGGGGAATGTGAGTTACTTAGCTAATACTAAGTTCCCTGACTGGGAATTGAACCCAGGCTGCAGCAGTGAGAATGCGGAATTCTAACCACTCGATCATCAGGGAGTTGCACATGGGTGTTAACGTGCTTTGCTGTGCCAATATGTGACCTACATCCATGACTTTCATCCTAAAACTGTTTCTTCAAAGGCTTAAATCAAAATCTGGATCTGGTATATAATCTGGATATTTTTTAGGCTACAGTGTACTAAACAAGAGGCCTCTTAACTGGCAGGTTAAGTAGTGATAAAGGCTCTTTTATCAAGAGAGCATTGCCTCATAGTCATCACCTTTTTCTGCATGTTCAGTTTATAGGTTACATAAACATCTTGCTGTTTCCCCTGGTACTAGGGTGTGAAATTCCCATAAATGGTTCTAATTGAGAGCGATGCACATTTTTTTTCCTGGTGTTTATCAAAGGGAAAGTTTGATAACAGCCATGTTTCAATAAGGAAAATAATGCTTTCAATTAGAACCATTTCCAGGAATTTCACTCCTCCGTCCAAGCTATAAAATCAAGTTCTTTATGCAACCTTTTTGTTAATTGAGAGCATTATTTTCCTTGGTGAAACATGCCTGTTATCAAAGGGAATGTTCCCTGACCGGGAATCGAACCCGGGCCGCGGCGGTGAGAGCGCCGAATCCTAACCACTAGACCACCAGGGACATATATAACAGGTATATGGAGTATAGATGAGTCCCGAATCAGTGTATGCAGCCAAATGAGGTTGATCTCTAAACTGTTGCTCCCCCTGCAAACAAGCGGCTGCAGGAAGAGAGTAGGTGAGTTGTGTTTAGTCTCTTTGCTAAAGAAATCAGGCAAAGCTAAAAAGATGTTTGATGGCTAGTACTATGGCTGGGACCCTATATGTACTGTTGATGAAGTTAGGTGCTGTTCTGAGCATTATTTGTGGCTATAGAGTGGCTTTTTGGTTGAGGTTTGCATGTGGAGACGTAGACCGCTGTGTATTGCTATTGTGCAGTCATTACTAAAGTTGGTATAACTAGAGAAACAAGCAGTCTGCAGCATTCATCTCTCGAGGGGGTGTCTAACTCGGTGTTACGGTGTGTTTGACCCTAAATTAATTTTACGCTGGAATATCCCTTTAAGCTGCTTCTTTAAAACTGGTGGTGTACTGGCCAACAACATCCACTCATGGTCAAACACTGACCATGGAGAAGAGCTAGTCCACTCCTGTTTGTAATCCGTGAGGTTACATACGCCTCCTACTTTGTCCAATCGTCGAGCGCCCCTTTCAACTACGTGATGCTGCTCTGAAAGTTCAGTGTGCTTTAGAAATCAGTGTGAAAGCAGAACCGGAACAAGTGATAAATGCAACAATGTTGCTACTTTCAGCTCCCCAATCGAATCGAGTCCGCTTGGTCAGGTGTGAAAGCGACCTAAGGCTCCCCCTCCACAAGTCCACTATTTTTTGATTTGCCACCTTTCTGAAGGTTTTCCAAAAGCCGGCTGAGGGCAGACCTTGATGTTTTTGCCCCTCTAACACAGAATGAGACATTCCCATGGTTCGTTTCGACAAGTATTCAGAATTAAACTGTATAATTTCATGACTAAAGCTTTACTTTCTGATTAAAGCCCTGTGCATAGTTTTCCTTGGAGAAAAATACTTGGGTTTTAAAAGGATGTTCCCTGACCGGGAATCGAACCCGGGCCGCGGCGGTGAGAGCGCCGAATCCTAACCACTAGACCACCAGGGAGATGAAGACCTGGATGGAGATCTGATGAGTTGAGGAATGACAGCTGCAGCATGCTTTTTTTTCTGTAATGCAACATCACACTTGGCCACTAGGTGATGCTTATCTCCTTCACCTATGTTCACCTATGAAGTAATTCAAAGGTATTTAAGCCCTTTGCAGTTTAAGGCCCCATCACTGTACTGTAACTTAAAGACTTAATAAGATGACCGTAGAGCAAAATAAGATGACTGTAGAGCAAAACACAGTGCAAGCAGCCAATATCCTGCTTTAAGTACAGTGTCACATTTAGTTAACTTTAGTCTTTAAAGAGAGAGCTCAGCAGGTAGAATCTGGCAGACTCAAAGCTTTAACAGCTCTTACTGACACAGAAGCATGCAGATTGATCCAGGCTACCAGCAGGAGAGAGGCTTTGCTCGCATGTCTGCCTGATCTGACTGATTAAAGAAGACAGTTACATTGCATTTGAATGTTAGTCTGGATTGATGAAGTCATTCCTCACCAAAAGGGTCTAAGGAAAATAAAAATCCTAGACCACAGCATGAATATTTGATCCCTTTAACTGCTTCAATGAAGCTGATTTAAACATGCTGCTTTCTCTCAAAGCAGTTCTGAAACAGGAGTGGGGGGTAGACAGGAATGCAGGGTGGAGCTTAAGTGCCGCATGCATTGCTTTTGTCCAAACCACATGCTGCTGCAAGGGGCCAGTGGCGCAATGGATAACGCGTCTGACTACGGATCAGAAGATTCTAGGTTCGACTCCTGGCTGGCTCGATGTTTTCCTCGATTGGTACCCACGAACAATGACAGAGTTTGTGAAATGTTTCACATAATGAAACGCTGTCTAGCACCGGCTGCCTAAAGACTGATATTAGCTGAGTAAAAGGCTCCACAGAGAACTCGACAATCATTAGTAAATGATTTTGTTTGGTTATCTTTAAAACAACTTTGACCTTTAATAATATGAATTTATTAAAGAACTTGAGCAGATATACGACCCCTTTTTGATGCTGTAAGTATGACCCAATCCTTCCTGAAATGAACTGTTGTTGAAGCAACATCAGGCTCACAGAATTATCACAATATCAGTTACCACCACCCGCGTTTCTTAGTTATCCCTCTGCTGTGTTCATAACTTGATTCTAATTGGTCCAAACCCCTTTACCAGGGGTATCTCTGGGGATCACATGTATCAAATCAGTCTACGGGGTTATGGCACATGTGGTGTTCTTTTAATTTCACCTCGTCCTGTTGACAGTCTGTCAAATCTTCAGTAGACAGAATGGACGGTATTTTTATATCACTTTCAACTTATTTGGGGAGTATAAAACTTAAGATTGGTGGTGAATGGCTTATCAGACAACAGGAAAAGAGACAGGAAGATAAAGTGGTGAAAGTGCAGAAACTAGTAAGGGATGTTAAGCTGTGTCACAGAGATGTCAGCTGCACTCATGTGAACAGTCACAAAGCAGCCACAACCCACGACAGGATATGGGCTTTGGCAGTTTCATGGCGTAGGCTGAGCAATAAGAAAATTCTAACTGAAAAGTTGTGAGGAAGAGGATCTAATACAGGTGCTGCTGCAATTTTCTGCATGTGTCAAAAATGCCAACAGAAAATGCAGATGTTGTGACTTTACTGTGAGTGAAAATGTCACATTTAATGTTGATTCTGTCTGTAAGTTGGGAAATAGGGATACTTTTGCCCTGGAAGTGCCACCAACCATCAAAACTGAGTGACTGTTTCTTTTAGATGTATGAATAAATCATTTTTAAATCAACAGAATCACCTTTACATCAACTCCCAGTCAGCAAGTTTGTGTATTTAGTTCTTAGTCAGGTAACAAGAGGAATAATTGATAGTTACCTAGTGGTTATGTCAAATAGACCCTCGACAGGGTGAGACGGGACTTGAGTGCACACCATATTAAGCCAAAATGACTAAGCCTTTTAAAAAATAATTTGCTAGTTTGACCTCAATTCAGCCAGGTTGAAGGTGAGAATCTAGGTCTGATGTCAGGCTATCTCTTGCATTTTCTTATTGGTGGACAGCGAGTAGCTGCAGTGACAACAACTGATAAGACCAGTCCTTTCAGTTAGACGCGGGAAAGCCTATGCATGAACAACAATGTACTGTGATGGTGCAGAATTCATAGAAATCTATTTTTAAAACAATGTTGTTGTGGTGTGCTTTTGCAGGTATGCTGAGCTGCAAACATACACGGAGCTGGATTCTCAGCCTACAGAGGATGGACAATGTGACATCATCATTGAAAAACCTACTGTTTTCATGAAACTGGATGCTGGTAAGTTATAAAGACTTGATTGAAATAAAACCCATCCTTTTTTAGGCACATGCACATTTGACTTTGTTTTAAAGTTAGGCTCTGAATGAAACCGTGGTTTGATAAAAAAAATATATAATCTCTAAAGTTAGACAAAACCAAGGTAATACTTTTTGGGAGATAACCATTTAAATCAGAGGTTATGAAACTGTTTGTGCATCTTATTTAGTTAATTTTCTTTTTTGTCTTCCTGTGTGAGTGGTTGTTGTTCTTTTTACGTAGTGTATACATGTATGTATGTGTGCATGTGTACACATATTTATATGGATGTGCTACCAAATATAATAATTGTGTATTTTTCCCAACAGGAGTGAATATGTACCACCATTTCTGTGACTTTGCCAACCTCTACATCTCCCAGCACATTAACAACTCCTTTAGCTCAGATATCAACATCGTCATGTGGGACACGGTGGGTACCTCATAGCTTTCAACACTTAGAGTACAAACTAGCAGAAAACAAAATACGCAGTTCAACCAGTTGGACTTTTGTTGAATTAGACACACTTTATGTCATTTTTAGAAACCATTACAAAAGGATATAAGTGATAAAATTGCCCATAAGACCTTAATTTATCTGCCTCATTAATAATTTATGGTTAACTGTAATTTATGAAATTTCTGCTTTTTCTTTAACAAGTCTGTAAAATTATGTTCCTGGTGTAGACATCAAGGGAAAAAATAACAGACCACCATGCAGACAGCCTTATCCGGTCCATTGTTCCTCCGCTCTGCACAGAGGTACAGAGGAAAAGGAAAATAGAGAAAGACAAATGGGAGGGAGAGAAAACTGTCAAGGAGAAGAAAAGCAGTGACCTTTCAGCACAAACTGCACGCTGCAGTGCAAACTGTGGCAGGCTGTTAGGTAATAGTGTGTGAACAGATTATGTATAAAACCAAAACTTACTTGAACGCACCCTGGAGAGTTTAAAAACAGACAACTGACATCAAAAACTGCTAAAGGGGTTTAGCTGAATTCATTTTTATGAGTTTGTTTTTCATGTCAGTGCAACACTAATTAAATTAACACATGTTCACCCCCTTTCAATGTCTTTTCCAGAGCTTTTATTGTTATGGAGATCTGTTCAGTGAAACATGGAGGGCCTTCTCAGAGTATGACATCATCCATCTGAAGACTTATGACTCAAAAAGAGTAAGTTTAGTTCCAGCTGTGACAAACATCTCTAAAGAAGGACGTTTAGAGATCTGTATCACACATTGTTGATTGTTGCTTTCTGCACCAATAACTACTTGAATATTCTTGACATTGCCTTAAGATATTGTATGACACCAGGTCTTATAAAAAAGTACTCTATGTGCAGTCATGTTTGCTTACTTCATTTTTTTATTCACATTTGGCCTCAGGTATGTTTCAGAGATGCCTTCTTCTCACTCCTCCCAAGAATGAGATACGGCCTCTTCTACAATACCCCTCTCGTAAGTTTTCCTTTGTTTTTTCAAATACATTAAAATGCACTAACCAGATCGTGTATCATGTACAGCTGATGTATTCAATTTAAAGAAATTGCAACATCTCATACATGCAGTCCTGCCATGTCCTGCATCTCTTACAGTTATTCATCTTTTCTATCCACAAACACCATGATATCCTCCGAAGTCAGAAACATACAGCCCCGGTCAAATATTTATGTGATGCATTCAAATCACAGCAAGTGCTAGTGTTATTTAAATGATAATTCCAAGGAGATTTCTATAAAGATGATATCATGTAAATACGGGATGTCCTGCGGCTTCAGCCTTGAGGTGTGAAATATTGATAGGTCAGCCTCAAGCTGATGCAGATGATTGCCCCTGCAATACATGTCATGTTTATATTCATGCACTCACATTTGCAGCCACATCGCTCCCATGTTTATGTGAAATTCTTGGAGTTCAGAAATACAGACTCATATGATATTCATTCTGGGGAGATTAAAAATATGCTTTCAATTTTCAGATTCACAGTGGTGCGTTGCCTTTCATCACAACCCAGTGCAGCTCTCAAGTGTGTCTGGATTCAGAAAGCCTCCAGTTCATTTGAAATAAGAGATTAGATTTTCTTAAAAGGCAGATATTGTTCAATGTTTCTTCTTTATAAAGGAGAACTGGAAAAAAGGCTGTCATTTAAATACAATACTTTGAATGAAAAAAATACAAAAATAAACTGACATTAAGCTTACAATAAGCTAAAATTGTGCTTTCTGTGCTGTTTTGTTGCAGATCTCAGATTGCCACAGTGAGGGGATGTTCAGGGCTTTCTCCCAACACGTTCTCCATCGACTGCGCATCCCGCAAGAAGGGCCAAAGGTAGGGAGAACACCTTTAAGGTAGCATTTTTTCTAGGCCTGGACGATATAGAAAAAAAGCATATCGATAAAAAATAAATCATATTGATCGATATCGATAATTATCGATATAATTATTATAATTATTTAACATATATTTTAATTGCAGCCCTTGATGTTTTATGCTATTGCTTAATGACCTACTTTTAATAAAGAACACACAGGCACTGAATTCAAATTCAAACCTTTATTTAACCACCTTTTTTATTTTACCACAACTGAAAGTTTTTTAAAAAAGAACTAAAAAAAAAAGAAATCAACTTAAGTGGCCTGAGTGACATCAGTAAATACTGACAAACATAAAGACTAAAGTGACCAGAAAATCTGATAAATAAATATTTAAATAGTCTTTTGATTAAAATAAACAAAACAAACAAATATATAAATAAACAGAATAGCTTTAGCTGGGAATAGCATACTACCAGTTTTAACTGTGTGGGAAACTGCCCACAGCCTGGTGTCTGAACACTGAAATATTTCTCCCGGGGTCGGGAGATTTATTTTTTTTAATTATCATGTGATTGACTTAATACACAAACTAAGCACGAGAAGCAGGACTTATCCACGCCGGTGTTGTGTCGTAGAATGCACCCCTGCCGAATGCACCCCCTGCTAGTAGCCATGATCCAAATACTCGCGTCTTTGTAAAATATGAGCTCATTTTCTTCCACTTTAAGAAGCTAATGAGTGGACGGGAACGTATTTCCTCCGCACCCTTCTCACCTTTTCAACCCCTGACCCATTTTCATGCCTGAAGCGCTGTGTTTGAGAAATACTTGCGGCCGGGCACTTCATATCGCGGGTCGAGAGTGGCTAGAAGCTGGTCGAAGCCAGGCTTTTCAACGGTAGTTATTGGCAGTATGTCCCTCGCTATGGAGCATGTTACTGCATGGGTGATGTCCTTATGCCGCTCGGACGCTTTGTCGTATTTTGGCAAGAAACGAAGTCCAGTTTGGTCTGCTTCACATGCTTTGTGCTGGTGCTGGCAGCGGTTCCAGAGGATTCCTCCGACGATGACGTGGAGCCGCGGCGCGGCCGACACAGCTCGTACTCCTGCGGGTGCGATCGGTTTAGATGATAAAACAAGTTGGTTGTGTTACCAGACTTGGTTTTTACTAATTCTAAAAACCAAAACATTGCCATGCTGGTGAACTACTGAAACCTTTTTTCGGGACAATGTCCTCCGCTTCTCCTTGCTGTATCATTTTTTCTAATACACGTGCTGTCTGTTGTGGTTTGATAGGGGCTGGGCTTGGTGCCGTAGGTACCTGGGTCTGCGTTTGTGATTGGTTGGGAGGAAGTAATGACTGTAGTAAAAGCTACATGATAGGCTATGATGAAAAAGAAAGGGAAACTGTGTTTTTCTATCGAACTTTTTATCGACCCGTTTTTTTTCTATCGCACCACACGTCTATCGATCGATATATATTGTTATCGAATTATCGTCCAGCACTAATTTTTTCTCATTTCTTACTTTCAGAACAAGGCCTTGTTTTTGTAAATGTGATTGGCACACTATTTTGCACCCAGATAATTCAACATATATCTAAGAACATCAGCAAATTTGGTCAGGTTACATGATTTTTCATTGTCTGCAGGTAACAGCTAAGTGTGAGTTAATCTTTTCGTGACACTTTTCAAACACAAAAGACTGTGGTAGACACAACTGAAACCTAGTCAGAAATCAGCAACAACAAGCAAACAGTAAACAAGCAGTTGTATCCTATTTTAATGTAATGACAAATATGATAAGTTGTTCAAAATGTTTCTGAAGAAATCCAACCTTGCCAAAAATATATTTATCTAATAATAATAATATTCTAAACAAAGGTGAAACCCAACAGGGAAAGTGAAACTGTAAGTTGGGGTTCTGCACTTGAATTATGCCCAAAGTTTTTAATCAACTTGGAACTGCAGAACAATGATATGCTTTCGAGGCTTTATGTAGAAGCACAGGGTCATGATTCACATAAGTCTGAGTGACTGACTGCCTTTCAGTGCTGAACTAAAACAAAGGTGGTGAACAGACCAGGGCCAAAAAATATTGTGTAATCTGAATCTATCAGAAGGTGAATGTGAGGATCAGGATCAGAAAGGTCTCTTTGATAGATCTATGTACCTGTCTTTAGATAAAATGCTTTTTTTTTTCTTGGGTGAGGACTAAAAAAGTAAAAGGACCTGCAAAATAACTGAGGTCATTTTTCTGTATATGGTGTTTACTTGGGCTGCAACGAATGACTATTTTATTGGTCGACGAGTCACCGACTATTAACACAATTAGTCGACTAATCGCTTAAAATAACAACCTCATTTGGCTACAAACACTGATATGGAAATCATAAATGATCCATAGATCACATATTGTGTGAAGACAACTCATTTAAGAGTTAGTTCCAAGCTACAAAATTCAAGGTATTTATGCAGCCTTTAAACTGCATATGCAGAGAAAGGCAATTATTAGGGGCAATGCTCTCTTCATAATTAAGCCTTTATCACTGCTTAACCTTGTTGGTAAAGAGGCCCCTTGTTTTGGCTCCCTGTTTTCTAACTTTGTAAAGACGATCCAGATATTGATTTAAGCCTTTGAAGAAACAATTCTTGGAAGGATGTGATGAATGCAGGTCACATAGGGGGAAATCAGAGCGCGTCAAAGCACATGTGCAACTCCCTGGTGGTCTAGTGGTTAGGATTCGGCGCTCTCACCGCCGCGGCCCGGGTTCGATTCCCGGTCAGGGAACTTTCCCTTTGATAACAGCCATGTTTCACCAAGGAAAATAATGCTCTCAATCAAAACCATTTCTGAGAATTTCACTCCTTCGTCCAAGCTATAAAATCAAGCTTTTTAGGCAACCTTTTAACTGCATATGCAGAGAAAGGCAATTATTAGGGGCAATGCTCTCTTGATAATTAAACCTTTATCACTGCTTAACCTTGTTGGTTTGGAGGCCCCTTGTTTTGGCTTCCTGTTTTCTAACCCTGTATAGAAGATCCAGATTTTGATTTAAACCTTTGATGAAACAGTTCTAGGTTGGAAGTGATGGATGTAGGTCACATAGGCTACGTTCACACTGCAGGTTTTGATGCACAATTCGGATTTTTTGTCAAATCTGATCTTTTTGTGCGGTAGTTCATATTACAACAGAGTGTCCACTCTGCAGTCACATCAGATACATATCCAAATTATTTCCACATACAAAAGAGGCCTGGGTCAGATTTGAAAATAACAGAATTGGACTGTTGACACTTACATGAAAAAATCAGATGTGTGTCATATATGGTTTAAAAATCAGAATTGAACGTAGCCAAAGCGTCAGAGCAAAGCACGTCAATACACATGTGCAACTCCCTGGTGGTCTAGTGGTTAGGATTCGGCGCTCTCACCGCCGCGGCCCGGGTTCGATTCCCGGTCAGGGAACTTTCCCTTTGATAACAGCCATGTTTCACCAAGGAAAATAATGCTCTCAATCAAAACCATTTCCAGGAATTTCACTCCTTCGTCCAAGCTATAAAATCAAGCTTTTTAGGCAACCTTTTAACTGCATATGGAGAGAAAGGCAATTTTTAGGGGCAATGCTCTCTTCATAATTAAACCTTTATCACTGCTTAACCTTGTTGGTTAGGAGGCCCCTTGTTTTGGCTCCCTGTTTTCTAACCCCGTAAAGACCATCCCAGATTTTAAATTTAAACCTTCGAAGAAACAGTTCTAGGTTGGAAGTGATGGATGCAGGTCACATAGGCTACGTTTACACTGCAGGTTTTGATGCACAATTCAGATTTTCAGTTAAATCTGATCTTTTTGTGCAGTAGTTCATATTACAACAAGGAATACGGCATGTTATGTGAACGGAATATGTCTGTGAAGTGACCTGCATGGCACAAAGCACTTACTGCTTTCCGCTCCTGTTTGTGTTGTCAAACAATGGTGACGTTTGTTGCATATTGATGATGTATAGGTCGGATGAACGCGACTTGAGGGTCCACTCTGCAGTCACATCAGATACATATCCGAATTATATCCACATACAAAAGAGGCCTGGGTCGGATTTGAAAAAAACTGAATTGGACTGTTGACACATGAAAAAATCAGATGTGTGTCATATATGGTTAAAAAATCGGAATTGAAAGTAGCCATAGGCGCAGAGCAAAGTGCGTCAATACACATGTGCAACTCCCTGGTGGTCTAGTGGTTAGGATTCGGCGCTCTCACCGCCGCGGCCCGGGTTCGATTCCCGGTCAGGGAACTTTCCCTTTGATAACAGGCGTGTTTCACCAAGGAAAATAATGCTCTCAATTACAACCATTTCCAGGAATTTCACTCCTTTTAACTGCATATGCAGAGAAAGGCAATTATTAGGGGCAATGCTTTCTTCATAATTAAACCTTTATCACTGCTTAACTTGTTGGTTAGGAGGCCCCTTGTTTTGGCTCCCTGTTTTCTAACCCCGTAAAGACCATCCCAGATTTTAAATTTAAGCCTTTGAAGAAACAATTCTAGGTTGGAAGTGATGGATGTAGGTCACATAGGCTACGTTCACACTGCAGGTTTTGATGCACAATTCAGATTTTCTGTCAAATCTGATCTTTTTGTGCGGTAGTTCATATTACAACAGAGTGTCCACTCTGCAGTCACAGCGGATACATATCCGAATTATTTCCACATACAAAAGAGGCCTGGGTCGGACTTGAAACAATCAGAATTGGACTGTTGACACTTACATGAAAAAATCAGATGAGTGTCACATATGGTTTAAAAATCAGAATTGAACGTAGCCATAGGCGCAGAGCAAAGCGCGTCGACGTGCAAGTGCAACTCCCTGGTGGTCTAGTGGTTAGGATTCGGCGCTCTCACCGCCGCGGCCCGGGTTCGATTCCCGGTCAGGGAACTTTCCCTTTGATAACAGCCATGTTTCACCAAGGAAAATAATGCTCTCAATTAGAACCATTTCCAGGAATTTCACTCCTTCATCCAAGCTATAAAATCAAGGTTTTTATGCAACCTTTTAACTGCATATGCAGAGAAAGGCAACTATTAGGGGCAATGCTCTCTTCATAATTAAACCTTTATCACTGCTTAACCTTGTTTGTTCGGAGGCCCCTTGTTTTGGCTCCCTGTTTTCTAACGCCGTAAAGACCATCCCAGATTTTAAATTTAAGCCTTTGATGAAACAGTTCTAGGTTGGAAGTGATGGATGTAGGTCACATAGGCTACGTTCACACTGCAGGTTTTGATGCACAATTCAGATTTTCAGTCAAATCTGATCTTTTTGTGCGGTAGTTCATATTACAACAGAGTGTCCACTCTGCAGTCACATCAGATACATATCCGAATTATTTCCACATACAAAAGAGGCCTGGGTCAGATTTAAAACAATCAGAATTGGACTTTTGACACATGAAAAAATCAGATGCGTGTCATATATGGTTAAAAAATTGGAATTGACCTGCAGTGTGATTGTAGCGATAGTGGCACACTAAAGCGTGTCAATACACATGTGCAACTCCCTGGTGGTCTAGTGGTTAGGATTCGGCGCTCTCACCGCCGCGGCCCGGGTTCGATTCCCGGTCAGGGAACATTCCCTTTGATAACAGGCATGTTTCACCAAGGAAAATAATGCTCTCAATTAACAAAAAGGTTGCACAAAGAACTTGATTTTATAGCTTGGACGGAGGAGTGAAATTCCTGGAAATGGTTCTAATTGAAAGCATTATTTTCCTTGGTGAAACATGCCTGTTATCAAAGGGAAAGTTCCCTGACCGGGAATCGAACCCGGGCCGCGGCGGTGAGAGCGCCGAATCCTAACCACTAGACCACCAGGGAGTGGTGAAAGTCTCTCCCACCACTGGTGTCTGTGTCATATGAAGTCCTTTAGAAACATTAAATTGCCCACATCCAAAACACAACAGACCCAAAAGTTACTTTATCACAGTTTTTTTTGTGTGTGCACATTTTACATCCTATTTTAGCTGTCTGAAAAACATGAGATTTTTGAAACCACTATATCCAAAAGCACTGGACCCGCAGAGACTGCTTGTTAGTGAGCTAATTTTAAACATCCTCCCTGAAGAGTGACAGGAACAACTTGCACTGAAGAGTATCAGGACTCAAACAGACAAGACTAGTGGTAGTTTCACATGATAGCAGACACATCCTACTTAACTTAACATTTTAAACAAAAGCAGTTAAGATACATCTTCTGTGTGTGTTAAGCCAAACCTCACTCCAATGGTGGCTCACCTTTCTGTCATTGCCCACTATTCCAACAACTTCATTCAGGAAAAAGTTACACTTTTATACCATTCTGGCTTACAATTTAAAAGCTTATATTACATTACATTACATTAGCTATTTTCTTTAATAGTTATTGCAACTTTAAATTGATTTGATAAAATATTGTTTGTATATAAGTAGTGAGTGGGTCTCAGAGTTTATGCTGCATAGCTCTTTGAGTAATCCTAGCTAAACAATCGTCAAATTTTAGCCCTCTGATTTTACCTCCACTGTGAAAGGCATTTACATAATGATCTATACCTTCGACTGAAGCATATAGAATTTGTTTAGAGTGTCAGGAAGCTGCATGTCTGCATTTGAAGTTGTTTTCTACTAATGCTCAGCAAATCTGCACAATAAGTATCTTTAGTATATAACTTTAAAAAAAAAAAGAAGATAAACTGTATTACATCTATGTAAAAAGTAATGATATTTGTATTAATTAGTACACTTAGTAAACATATGTAGTGGAGAGCCAAGTCAATGCACACACATGGCAGGACCCAGGGTAAGAGTTCCTAACGGTGAAAAGTAGCTCTCTAATTTCTGTGAGCGAACATGTATAAATAGAATCCCTCCATTATGTCTCTGCCACCTCCTAACCCTCTCAGTCATCTTCTACTTTTTAACTCTTTAACTCTTTAGCAATCTACACAGGTGTTTTATGCTCTTGGATTTGAAGTTTGAATTGCTTGACTATATCTTTACAGCCAGCAATGCCCCATTACTTCTCCCCTCTCGTGGAGCAGCTCATTGTGTATTCATGGCCTTCACTGGAAATATGCTAAGAGGCTTTTCAGCTAGACATGGGGCTGCTAGTGATAGCAGGCCGGTGACTGAATGAGAGGTCCTCTCGGCCCTGACCCTCTCCTGAGCTCCTCCTTTTATCCTCAGATTAATAGCACAGCCAGAGACTCACACTGCGGCTCTCTGCTATTGTGTCCTATTCATCTGCTCCAGCCGCCCCTCTCACCCTATCTCCTCCTTGTCTTAATTTGCTCTGGTCTTGTGCATAATGTCACCTTTTTCTTTACTTTTTAAATGTAGTTTCAAAAAAGGAGGGGAGGAAATAGGTTGTGCATTAAATAGATGTAAATACGCTGCTTTTGACAAGGTATTTGGCATCGGTTTAGCTGGTCAAGTTCATGTTATTACTTTGTTAAAAGGCTATGCCATCCTTATTGCATATGTTACAAAGGTTCACACCTCAGAGAAATCATAATTTCTCTTTCAAAACACAAGATGGCAGCAGATGATCACAGAAAAAGAGGCATCAGAGTACGCACCGTAATAATGAGAGCACCTGTAGTTCTACTTTGCTGTTCATACTTGTGATTTAAACTGATGTGTAACCTCATCTGCGGGAGATAAAAGACACCTTTTAAGTCTAAGTTAGTTTGAATGAGCATCATGTTTTCCTTGCCACCTATCGTGTCTGTCCTTGGCTGATTGATTATTGGGTGCATTGCTGTTTTCAGGAGGGACGGGTTCGTGTCACCCTGCTGGCTCGCAGCACAGAATACAGAAGGATATTAAACCAAGTGGAGGTGAGTCCAGCTCCTCCCTCCCTTCTTTCTCTCTCTTTAATGCAATTACTATTTTTATTGCATCCTTTCCTGCCACAAGTCCTCCTATTCTTCTTTTCTGTCTTTCTCTTTTCTCACTCTGTACACCATTGATTTACTGCCTACATCTGTTAAATGCCTATTTAAAATGTTATTTGCTATAAACACTGCGGGTAAAAAGGAGCTTGTGATTTATATGGTTGCCGCACATATTTATTTGCTCTCTCATTGATCAGAGAACACATTGCTGTGTTGTTGTTACAGCTGGTAAACGCCCTGAAGACAGTGCCTTTACTGGAGGTCAGTGTGGTGGACTACAAATACAAGTGAGTTATACAGTCCTGACATTACTATAGGAGCTATTCACTGCCGTTCAGTATTAGCCGACCATGTAGTAGTGCTGTATAAGTATAAAGGGAGTGTACGCCTTTTAAACAGCGACAGCCTTTACTCAGTAAAGATGATTGATGTGCAACTTCCTGTCTGTCTTTCAGGGATGTCCCCTTCCTCATGCAGCTGAGAATCACCCACAACTCTGACATTTTTATAGGGATGCACGGGGCGGGTCTCACACACCTCCTCTTCCTCCCTGACTGGGCTGTCATATTTGAGCTGTGAGTGGCACTCTACGTCCGCCTGTGTGTGTGTGTGTATGTGTGAGTGACAGAAAAAGACAGAGTAGGGTTGCAGGGAGAGTGATGGGTTTAGCTGCGTGCTGCGCTTGAAATACCCTTCAGGCACTTTGTGTATGATGGTGAAATACTGTCCAATTAACCAGGCATTCATCACAGCTGGCTACCCTGGGTGGGGGAGTTGATTGAAATGTGGTTGGGTATTGGCTGGAGTATTTTGTGCACATTTGGTTAGCTGATAAAGTTTGAACCACTTTTTGTATATACTGAGAAGAAGAGGGAGAGAGGGGGGCAAGAAAGAGTGAAAGAGAGGCAGAGAGATGAGAGCAAGAGATAAAGTGTCTGCATCTGTCCCTCCCAGATATAATTGTCAGGATGAGAGCTGCTATCGAGATTTGGCTCGGCTGCGAGGCATTCGATACGTGACTTGGCAGAAAATGGACAAAGTGCTCCCACAGGACAAGGTAGGGGAAAGACCCATACCAGCCATTGCCTTTCTGGCACCTCAGTTCATTCCACCTATTCCTCATATATACACACAGTATATATTCATTCATAAACACAGCAATACAAACACAAACATATCCAGGCTTGTGTGTTGTGTCTCTTTCTACTTTTGAAGTGTCTGATCTTTTTTTCTGTCACCTCTCCCCAGGGTCATCATCCAACCCTCGGGGACCACCCAAAGTTTACCAACTACGCCTTTGACGTGGGCGAGTTCATGCGTCTTGTGCTAGAGGCAGCTGAGTATGTCACACAGCATCCCAAATGGCAGCGTCACACTATACATGATGAACTCTAAAGTGGTTGAGTTTTTGGACACACAAACATGATGAAAATTTTTCACAGAACCTGCCATTTTATTTAAAAGCACACGTGTGTTTATAAGATGTTTTAAAAGTGAGCTCACCTGATAGTGGACATCAAAGTTTTGGTAAAGTATTTGACTCTTTTTGCACTTTGCTTTGATTGCTTAACGGGTGACAGCAGTTTGTCGGACAGCTCAGGACTGAACAGCCTCTAGAAACTATATTAGCATCAAATCAGTCACAAGATGTGGCACGTGCTGTCGAAGCAGCTGGAGAGTGATGAGATGTGTCCTATGTTTCTTCATTACCTCCACTGTGTCTTTTTCAATCCACGTCGACAAAGTTAGTTAATGAGCAGCTGTTACGGCTCCTCTTCACATGCAACACCTTGTCACATTTGATCAGAGTCACCTTGATGGGATCCTCTTCAGGGCCGCTGACAATCATGCTAGAGTGTCTGAGCACAGGCTTATATGATGCACAGTATTTACCTGCTGGAGCACAGGTATGTGGGGGGTGATTTATGAATCAAACACTAATTGCTCCAGAAGAAGTTAAGTGACACAAGAGGATTTTTTTTGTCAATATTATATCTATTTGCATGTACAGTTATGCTTTTAAATACTTCAACTTACATTTGAGTATTCATGCAGAACACGTATCGCTCTGTAAACTACATTTCAAGAATATTTTGTAGGCTTTTTGAATAGAAATGTTATTTAAATTTGAAATGTTTGTCTTTTCCATCGGTAACATTCCTATTTAAATTGATGTGTTTGCTTTTGGAGCATTGTAGTGAACTGATATTGATGTATATTTTCATTACTACTTCCTTTGTTTTACCAAAGGAGGTACATTGTCAGTGTGATGAAACAATAAGGGTGCTGCTATTGTCTGTTACCTTCCCTAAAACCTTTTTGTGTTGTTAGTTTCATACTTTAGTGAAGTATTGTCAAAGGTCAGAAGATTGTTTGTGTGTTTTGGGCCTCTCTGTGAGCTTGATATTATATTTAAAGTGGAAACGATGAACTCTGTCAGACCTCTTTGGTCAGGGCTATGCTTGACTGTAGCCTATTTTATATTCAGAGGTTGTGTAATATTTTGAAATAAATAATTTTTTAAAATGCTGATGCATGCTGTCCTGCCTGCGCCTGCTATTTTGGACATCAGAGATTTAATTCATCCTTATTAAATCAATCAACTTTTGAAGTCCGACCTTGGAAGGGAAATGGAAGTCTCTGCGAAAGCAGTTTTTGCTGAAACTAGACGGCTTGTTGCTTTGGGGTTCACTATTATTGTGAGTTCAGGTCTAAGAAGGGGAAGGTCTCTTCACAAAAGGGCACTGGTTCAGTTTTTACTGTCACCACAATAAATCTGAATGACCTCAAAAAGTGCCAGGGATTACTGTGACGCATCATGGCCACACGGGGGCAGTATAACATCACATATGAAGCCAAATGTGTCCCTGCGCGGTGTGATCATCCCTGACAGAGTTATTTTCAACACCGTGAGGGTGAGAACAAATTATTCACAAACATCCAGTGGGTCATAACAAGAGAATGGCTGCAGAAGAGTATTTGCTTCAGTGTCACAAGTTTGATGTCAGCAGACCCGCTCCTCTTCGCGGATGTTGTGTCTGAACTTTCTGAGTATTGACAGACACTGGGCCTGTCTAGAATGGACACTATTTATGGCCCTGCTCGGGTTACTGCCAGTGACCTCGTAAAGAAATGAAGAATCTCTTTGCAGGAGGGGATCAAAAGCAGAGGAACCAAGATGTCTGTTCTCATTAACCTTCATGGCAGCTTCAAATCGATGGCCAAGTCCTGGTTTTCAGCGCCAGGCCTGCCTGCTGGATGTCTCTGAGATGGATCGGATCACCCAGTCCACCTTTCGACTTAAAGTATGAAGCGTGAGGAAAACAGTGGGCAAAGGTGCAAATTCTCTCCTCTTGGTGTGGCGTAGAGGTTTCTTATTTTACTGGTTGCAGCCAGTATACTTAGTATACTTCAGAAACACTAATAATGACCACACCTGATAAAAAAAAATAGTAAGTGTGACATTCACTAACAGTATCACTTACCTGTGTGAAAAAGTTGGATTTTTAGCTCACCTATTGTTATCAGGATCCACATTTACTTTCTTAGGCTGCATCTAGTGTGCTACCCAGAGTCCTTCAACAGCCAGGAATCATTTGCCCTTTTTCTGGAGATTATCATGAGAAGTCTTATCTGGTTCCCCACCTGAAATTTCGCTCTTTATTTCCACCTTCTCTAACAAAGCTGAAGATTGAAGAAATGGGGCCCAGGCGCAGCAGGACCAGAGAGCTCGTCCAAGATTCTTTAAGGTGGAAGCTGTGAGTGAAGTCATTTGAGCCTAACAGTGTAATCCACATTTTAATTTTAGGATGTTTTAGTTTGATTTCAAGCATGACAACACTCAGCAGCTGCTTTGCCTAAATATTAGTAGTTTATTAACCGTTGGCTGACATATCTGTTATTCTGTTGTACAATTGCAGTACATTTCTGAATTTTCTCCTCAATCATTTAATCAATTACACAGTCCTACACAGCTATGACTTAAAGTTGATGTTACACAATAAAAACATTTTTAACACTGAATTAGTCAATCACAATACATTCATCCTGTTGTGTTTTGTAAAGAGTAGTGCAGGGGTGTCAATTTTGAAAGAAATATCCCTCATGGAAAGAGTTGATAGTTGCCATGGCTCCCTCCTTGGTTGTGATCTTTGGAGAGGTAGATCTAGACAACATCCTAAAACCCCCAACCCTCTAATATATGATCCCCCAAATAGGACTTCCGCCTATCTGCTTTCGCTCTAACCACATTAACATATAATCAACGCTTTAGCTTCCCACCCTTGCTTAAGATTTTAACACTGCAGGGTTACATGCAATGAAAACTGTTCAGAAAACTGATGCCTCTGTAACAACACCTCGAAGTGTAATGGGGGGTAAATTAAATTTCACTCTGTTCAACCTCACCCTTTAAAGTCCATGTTTACGTCACATGATGTGGTTTCCTCTTATACCATCTGCCCTCTCTGAGGGAAGATAGATGAGATAAGTGCTGTGAACTGGTGCATCCATTAGCTGCCTCTCTTTAAGATAAAAGGCCTCCTATTCGTGACACTCAGGTTCACTACAGTGCAGACACAACTTTCCAGGGCAGACAGGATATATCATGTTTTCTTCACTCACATTGTTCACAGTATGACTACTGTTTTCTACACTCTAGATTGCAATTTTGAAAGCGAAGTGATGGCAGTCTGGAGCTCTCCAACGTCCTGAAATCTTTTTTTTTTTTTATATATATATCTTAAGCTTCCATGGTGCTGAATCAAAGATTTAACTCCAGTTGTATTTTATCCTGCTGCCAAAGTGGTGCATGTTCCTGAGTCGTGGCGAACCTGCATCAATGACTAATCTGTTCTCAGTTCAAAGTCAGACGGATCGATTTGTAACAGATTAAAGCCTAAATTAACCGCTTGAAAATAACCTACAGCACACTCTGTCTCACTCAAGCACAGGTAGCAAAGTGGTCAGAAGGGGTTGAGGACGATGCTAGACAACCATGTTTGAGAGTACTGTTAGATCAATTCCCGTCCTCTTAGTTTTACTCCTAATACTCATCACATTTCATTATTATTGCTCCATCCCCCTGTCAGAAAGTTCAAATCCACTGTTATTGGACGAGTCCAGATATGTCTCCACCGACACTTGGCTTGCCGTATGACCAAACGAGAAAACAATGAAGACGTCTGAATGTTTCGGATCCTCCTCACCTTGGGTCGTTAGCAGATATCGACCTCCTCTAAGTCTTAACGATTGAATACACAGCGCCAAGCAATCAATCGTCAGCAACACACTCGAGTATTCGAGGGATGGAATAAGTGATAGGCTGTCTCCTGGTGCGTAATGGATAAGCGGCGGTGATTAAATCCTGTTTAACATCTTGGTTGGAGGTGGGAAATGGGGTGGGGGGTTGAGGGGGGTTTTACTTGACGCGCCTGTAGCGAAGTATGGAATATGATCCTGATGAGGCGAGGTAGATATTAAGGGATGAGGAGGGGTTACCGATTCATGCACAGATGAGCACCTAAAGGCCATAGATCAGACTCCCTCTAATAGAAAGCTGAACTGAAAGACCTTCAGACTGGGACCATTAGAAGGTTAACTTCTACCAACACTTGACTGGCCTGAAAACACGTTCCGTATCATATTCATTAAAAACAAAAGATGCATCTGTACTGCAAAAATACTACAACTGCTGGATCAAAACATCGATTTTTGATTCAGAATTTGAAAATTACTCAACACCTCTGCGCCCTTTTCTTTCTCTGCATTTTAAAATACCATGTTTGGGGAACCTACAATTTATGAACACGGAGTTAAGAAGTTAAGAAATTCACCAGGACATAAAACGACACATAAAGACTTGTTGAAAGTAACTTATTCCAGCGTAAGAATGACTGTCATGATTCCTATGATTCCCATCTCGCCCCCCACCTCCTTCTCCTCCTCAGCGTCTTAGCTACTTGTAAACTGCATGACATCAGTGGGGAAAAAGGGGGTGTACTTTGGAGCTGGTGAACTGGGCGGGCGCTGCTGCACGTGTTCTGAATTGGGAAGACGGGCTCGCATCGCATTTCTCATGTCCAATCGATCCCTGCTCGGGAGGAGCGACGGGAGCGCACAACTATCACTCCTGCATCACTACACCATCACTCTCATCAGCATCTTTCCGGCGTCTTGAACGCTTCTGCGTGACTGTCGCGCGCAGAGGGGGAATAAACTTGTGTGGAGTGGTCGCCAAAAAAAAAAAAACATCAGCCGAGTGTCTCTATGTGGGGAATTACGCACTCTTTATGACTTTCTCCTCTGTGTGGGGGTCTGAGATGGGACGCGGCGAGATCGTGGCAGGTTGGGCCACATCGCTGTTGCGCGAGATGTGTCTTCTCAACCGGTTCTGGAGGGCTGGTACTTTGGTTTGGCAGTAGCCATCCTCAACACCGCTTCAGTGTTTTTGAAGGCGGGTTTTGGAAACTGGACAAGAGGCTCTATAGGACTGGATGGGGATCAAAATCAGTGGAGTTGGAGCAGAAAGTGGCAAATCTTCCTGTTGTCTCACCTGGATCCTTTACAGTCTCCTCCTGTGATCATGACATCGAGTTTATAGGTTTAGGTAAGGCTGTGTGTTTTTCTTTTCGTATTGATTAAGTATAGACCCACATGCCTCAGATAATAACGTTATTTGAACTCTTTGTGTGTTCCCGTGGCGCAGGGTCAATAGGCTAATGAAACGAGGATGGGGTCAGAGGGGGACTTTGGCTGGAGAGATGTGGAGGGGAGGTGACTGGCCGCATGACTCACGAGCTGAAGGCAACTTTGATGTTCTCAGCTCAGAGCGCCGCAAACAAACAAGAGGGAACTTCCTACGAAACCCTCCGTGGGTTCCCGGTGACTTTTCTCCCTCCCCGCGTTTGATTCTATCCATGCGTATAATCGGAACGCATGACAAGCCGATTTCGCTGACCATGTGTAGCGCGTGCTGTCGGGAGAGCGAGGTGAGATTGATGCAGCGTTTCGCCGCTGTCAGGTTAAATAAGCGATCGGTCGTGGCTCGTCGCTGCTTAGTAGCTATAGAGTGATCGGCGAGGCTGATCCGCTGACCGGGCTCTTTTCACGCGCTCTTTAAATGCTTCGTATATGGTGGAGTGGATCGGAGAGCGCGCGCACGGGGGCTTAGGACATATGGGAGAGAAATTAGGTGCCGATAGTTTCTCCGGGCAGATTGCGCACGGAGACAGGGAGGTGTGATGCGGAGTATTAGACACACACACACACACACACACACACACACACACACACACACACACACACACACACACACACACACACACTTCTCTCTCTCTCTCTCTCTCTCCACACGGAGTGAAGAGAAAATAACTTGCATGTTAATGGGCGCAGTAATGAGACCCAACCCCTATCGTGTTGTAATTGTTAGTCATCCTTGTCTCCACCCCTCCCTCTCCCACCCTTCCTCCCTCCCCTCTTTGCTTTTTTTTTTTTTTTACCTCAACGCTGTCCCGCTGCTCAGGTCTGCAATTTGTACTGTATTGAAAGAGTGTAATTATTTGCCCATTGTTTTAGTGCGCGCGGCACCGGCACTCTACTGAAAGTGGTGTCATTAGTGTGACAGGCAGGGCGGACAGAAGATAGAGAGAGAGAGAGAGAGAGAGGTGGCGGGGCCGGGGGGGAGAGGCTGTTGGAGAGGAATCGGTCCAGGGACTTAATTCTCATTGACAGTCACATTAACACAGGAGCAGCACTCTTAATCCTGGGGAGATTACTCTCTCCAACCTGACCCCCTGTCACCCAGCCGTCCTCCACACATACACGCGCACACACACACATACACACACACCTGTAAGAGGGTGGCACTGACGTCTGCCTGCGCTGCTTTCTCCTGTCTGCAGTAGATGACTTCTCCTCTGTCTTTGTCACCCTTTCCCATCTCTTCACACCTCCCCTCCCTCCATTCTTCCCACTGCTCTTTTCACTGATCCTCACGCGCAAAATCACACACTTGGCAATTACTCCTCTCCCAAGGCTTGCTCTCTTCTAAGACCCTTCCTCCTCTTCCTTCTTACACTCTCCCAGCTTTGGGACATCCTGGTATCCTCAAGAGGCCATTGCGCTCTGCATGTCTCAACAACCCCTCTATCTGCTTCCCTCACAGAGGGCTGTTCAGGATGACTGCCTGGGAATGAGGGGAAATGGATTGTGTGCATTTGTGATTGTGCATGAGGACTCGGCAAAGCAGAGAGGCAGCGGGTGGCAGCGGAGAGAAGGCAGAGCATGAGGGCAGGCAAGAGAAATGAGCTGGAGAGACGGAAAAAATATTTGTGAGAGATGAAGCGAGGGAAGGAGATAGTGCGTGTACGTGTGTGTACAGGAAAGTCTATACAAAATGACCTGTGTGAGTGTTTGTGTGTAGAAATAGAAGAAGGAACTCTGCACAATGGTGGGGTCGCAAACCAGTGTCTGCTTGTTGATGTGCAAGGGTGAGAAAAACAGCAAGATGATAATGATGGTGTGTGTGTGTGTGTGTGTGTGTGTGTGTTTGTGTAAAAAGGATGATATCCTAGATGAATAAGCAGGGATCAGGCGTGTACTGCTGGTAAGGTGACAGATAAGAGATCACCTCCACACAAGCACAAAAACTCACACTCATACCCACAAACACACTGGGATTAACAGATTGACTGTGATGAATGGATACTTTTGACTGAGAGGAGGAGAAAAGAGGAGAATTGTTCTTTCATGTCAGTGGCAGAGAGAGAAAGAGAGAGAGAGAGAGGGGAAAGGCCTGTCATTTGCAGACCACAGTGTCCTGGACAGCTTTTCATCTCGGGCAGTTTCAGGCTGTGTCGACTCAGAGGACATAAAACTGCAGACAATAAAGTCTCACACATCCTTATGAAGTAGAGTCCAGAAAAAGAAGGGGAGATCCTCAATTGTCGTGGATCATGGAACGATGCAAGATTAATGAATGAGAGCGGGTTGTGTATCTGTTTCTCATCTCAACCACAAACCACAGCTGGACAGAGGTCATGAAAAGGGGTAAAGTTGAGATATTGCTGACAGGCTAATGGAAACACGTGGCTTCTTGCTGACGTTATGTGGCGGCTCAGAATGGATCCATTGACAGCAGGCCTCTATGAGTAAAATGTGGGATTAATTACAACAAAGACTGCTCATTGACGATATATTTACCAGCTGCTATAATTGTTTTGGTTCTTCTGCTAAGAATGATTTTAATTTTGGTTTAATTAAGACACACCAAAACGACTGATTTAGTCAGCAGACATCCTTATAATCTCAGTCACATCATTCATTCTGTTCATGTTGACAATCTTAATTTTACACAGTTATAAAGAACCAACTGTGCACTAACTCATTGGTAGACTGATGTATTTCTAAGGATAAGAAGTTAGTTGATAGTTGATACTAATATATTTGTCAACCATTCATGAAAAATCTATATGTGTTCCTTTTACACAAAGCTTCCTGCAAAGATCTGTTTATTTCATTATAAAATGACCCATCTTGTAAGTATTTTGGTCACAAGTACTAAAGTAAAAATAAATTCAAATGATTCAGAAAAAATATCCCTTTCATTTTATGATAGGAATGATAAAAACCACCATTATGGAAGTTTGTTCCATTCTAAAACATCAGTATTAAACCCAAAATCCAGTATTAATGGACTTAAAATGAATATTTCTGAATCTATTTTGCTGTTATGTGAGTAGGACACAGTTGTACAGCATATCCATCTATGGACTTATTTTACTTTAATAAATCCTAAAAGTTTTGCATAAATTTTCCAAAGACATTTACCATTATAACTTTCTCTTATGCATCAATATTTACACTTCAGTAGTAGTAAGGTTGTCGGTAATTGAGTATGTTGATTAGAATGAACTTAAAACACTGCGATCTAAAAGTGTCCCATAATCAGCGATGTAAAGGTTTATCCTCCTGTTCGGCCTTCCCCACAGTGATCATTTTGCAGAGCGTGATTGGTTTTCAGTAGACCCTCGATCCTTGTCTTCCATTTGTCCCCCTGCATATCAGTCACGCGGTGACAGCGAGGCCTCGGTCTTCTGTTCGGCACTATCACACCATCTCCAGACTCTGTATTTCCACCTAACAGGTCCTGCTTTGACTGACAGCTCTCCCTGCCATGCGGCCTCCCTCCATCCCACCCACAGAACATGGTGAAAGGCACAGCTGCCACTTTCAAACACACTGCTCTCACGGCTTTAACGCAGCTGACAGGTTGTGGGTTAGTGATTATTGTTCTGAATGTGCCAAGTGCTTTTAAAGCATCAGTCATGTACTGTTGAAGGATTATTTTTTAAACATCTGTTTCACATTTTTAGTAATTAATTTACGCCTAATTTTAGTCATTTTTAATTGGAGGAAGAATTTGGCGGATGTCGTAATCCTTTTGCAGGAACTGAGGGTAACACAACTTCACAGTCTTCAAGGTGCTTTCTCCACAGCTGCGACTCACTTTGACCATGACAAATCTCCCGAAGTGATAGTAATGATTGTAATTGAACAGGCACAGTTTCTTCCCACAGTGCTCTATCTATCACCTTGGATGCAATCTGCTGCTTCCTCTTCTGTATGTGTGTGTGTGCAAGTGTGTTCATCTGTGTGTATCTGTGAGAGGCAGTGCGTCCCTGTTCACTTCCCTCTGGCAGCTGGCAGATGTGCCGGTTACTTTGAGCGACAGTGTGAGTTTGTGGGAGTGTAAGTGTGTTTGTGGGATTATGAAAAGCTCGCAGCGTGTTCTACAGTGAGGGTCCACTGTGGGGCTGGGGTGAGGATGTAGTGCAGAGGTGGTGGTGGTGGTGTAGTTGGAGCCTGGGGCAGTCGTGGCAGCAGCAGCTCTCGAACAATCCGTGGCTGGTGAAGTGCAAGGGGGAAAGGGTTGTGCCCACAGAGCAGAAGCAGTTTGGGGGGTGGGGGTCGGGGTGGGGGCAGTTAGAAAATGAGGCGGATGGGATGAGATGGAAAGTAAATGAGAGGAAGAGAGAGGAGGCACACTGTGGGTGATATCTGACCAAGGAGTTTGATTAAATAGATATTTAAGGGAGAAGCTTCAACAGAGAGGATCATGGGTAGTCAGGACTGAGGGGAAAATCTGTCAGAGGGGTGAGTGGGTGTGTATAACAGTGCCCACAGTTTTTGTGTGTATATGTGAGGGTGTGTGTGTGTGTGTGTGAGGGCTGGAGGTGATGGCTTTGTAATGAAAAAAGCAGAAAGACAGCAGTTGAGGGTCCCTCATGGTGGCTGACTGATGTCAGTCACCAGCGGACAATAGCCTCCCATGAGGACCCCTATCCTGATCAGGGTTAATCTTCATCATCTATGTGCGTGGGCGTGTTTGCACTCACTACTTTTGTCCAGTAATCAACATGTCAAAGACGTATGTTATTCATAATAACACAGTCAATTGTGATGCAGTCCACAAAAACGTCCTCCCCTCTGATGTGAATTCATGCTATAATAGAGGTTGGTCACATTTATGTCAGGATGTGGTCTGTAAAAACAGTATTGCTGCATTGTAATCTACAGAGACTGTTATATTATGTAAGACTTAAATAAAGCTTGTAGATAAAAAGTGGATTGTTTAAAAAAATATATGCGAAATTGCCTTCAACCTGTAGTCTCTTTTGTGACCGCCAGGGGGACAACCGCTAAAAAAGATGCATGATTTTTTTAAATCAGAAAAGACAGAGCCCATACTTCCTAGTCAATTAATTATTACACTGATTTCCCCACTTCTTTTATAGTCTCATTTGATAGAGTTATGTGGTCTTTCAAAGATTGATTTTTCTTAAAGAGTCCGTGAAGCGTTCGCTGTTTGTTCGGATTTCGGTGTCTCCTGAAGGCCAATCAGTGTCTTTGCTTTCTTTGTCTAGTACACGGGTAAGTTGTGGTTGCTGACTAAAAATATAATCTCACTTACTCTACAGTCACATGGATTACATTTAATGAATATTTGCGATGTAAAGAAGCTAAGAAGAGTTTCTCGTCACTGTGCTGCAAATAGCCTAATTTGACAGCTAACCAATTGCAGCAGTTAGAGGTATTAAAAACTAGAAAATAGAAAATGGTCTAGCTTGCCTTTATGGGTCATAAAGAGGCATCGCTGTGCATTTCAGTGTGTCCCAGTACCAGATCAAAGCTCTTCACAAGGGCTTTGAATTATACTTCCCTTTAGGATTTAATGAAAGACAAAACATGGTACGCTATGGGTATACCTTCAAGTCTTTTACTGTACTATGTCAGTCAGGACAGCAGGGTTCCAGTCCAGTCACTAAGTCTCTGAGTCTGAATCAAATCTTAAGTTTTTACAGTTCAAGTTCAAAGGCAGTCTGAGTCAACAAAGACGAATTTGAATCTGATTCAAGTTCCCCTTACTTTAGTCCAAGTCAAGTCCTCTTTATTGATATTATTCATGTTACGGAGGCTCAAAGCTTTTAACTGTATAAACCTTCACTTTGGATTTATACAAAACACATTTATTCACTGAAATTAGGTTAAGAACGATCATGGTGTATCCAGAGATTGAAATCATCAATAAAGCTACAATGCTGTGTGTCATATATGAATGCGCACTGCAGCTCTGGTAATATGGAGATGCACTCATTGATTCTGCTGCAGTGTCAAATCTATGAAAGCAAAAAAATTTAATAAATAAAAGAAAAAAAAAACCCACAACTGGTGGTCTTTCTTTTAATGTCCCAGCAGGAACAATTGCTGAACATGATGCCATGCGAACACGCGTGTCAACCCTTGTGTGAAACTGACAAGGGCCTTATGCAAAAAGATAAAAAAGTAAGTAAGTCATATTTATTTATCGCAAACCCAGACTCAGCTTGTGCTTGAGTCTGAGTCCTGAACTTAAGTACGAAAACACTTCAGGATGCAGCTATTAAAAACTGGGAACTTACCCAACTCTTTTGGATCAAAAATAAAGCAAGACGGTGACAGTCATAATGCCAAACTCATGGCTTTAAAACAGTAGCTCAAAAACCAGTTGGGGACATGATGATTATATAACCCTCTTACCTAGAACCTGGTTCCCTGAGAGAAAATGCCTGTGATTTGGGTTGAGACTTAAAGCGGTTAAAATAAAACTCATGTAACCGCAGTGTCCTTGCAAATGATGAAAAAACCAAGGTTTATGTGCCTGCTGACAATATCCACAAGCAAAATAACACTGGCATGAAAATATTTTTGTGTCAGCGTATCTGTTTCTGATATCCGCTCGTGATCCCTGTATGAAATTGCTTTGTAAGACTGTGTTAGTACATGTGCCTGTGTGTGTGTGTGTGTCTGTGTGTGTTAGAGAGCAAGGGTTAGACGCCCTGCTTGTCTCAGGGGAGGAGTGTGATATGGTGTCATGCTCCAGAGACCCACAGACAAATTAATTCACTTATTGACACCGCTGACACGTCTCAGTGACTTTGTAAAATGAACAATTGATCAGGCTTCCTTTCTCTCCCCACTCTACGTCTTTGTCTTTCTCTCTCTCTCTCTCACACTTTCACACTATTTTTCCTGACCTTTCTCTTTCTCTTTTCCTCCCTCTCCTCTACCATTTCACACTCTGACCCCTCTCGGACTCTCTCATCTAGACTCCTTCTCTTCCTCTCCTTTTTGCTTTTCTGCTGGTTTCAGGCTCTCCCTTTCCCCTGGCTGGCCCATTGACAGGCATGGCACGTCCGCTAATTAATATAATTACACGCAAGCTGGTCATTAGCAGCTGAGGGGACTGATATAATCAAGATGTCTGTTTTTCTGTCTATGCGTGTTTCTGTGCATGAAGTGTGTGTCTGTGGGGAAGACTGTGAAGCCTCTCCATCCGCGTGTCCACTGAGCTGAAGCTTTTGTGTGAACGTGTAACGAGGCTAACAGTCGACTTTTAGGTGTTTGTCCAGTGCCTCTGTCTTTGCCAGACATCTATTAACGGCTACAGCTAGACCGAGGGTCATAAAAAATCAAAGCAGGCTCCACATCAAGGTTGTTTGTTTTCCATTAATCATAATTTGGGCACAAAGCACAATGAATGCCTGCTGCTCTCAGGGGAGGCACACTGTCAGGGCATCGGCCTCCTTTTTCTTTGGACACAAGCACCGTTTCCATTTCACAGACATACAGGGATCAGTGTGTAAGGACCATATTAAATTTCTGGTAGCACTTTACTTGATGCCTATCTCTATAACGCATTATAGATATATTTATAATGCATTATAATCACGTTATAGCACTGTATAACTATAGTTATAAACACTCATAAATGATCATAATGCTTTATAGCAATAATCATAACACAGTATAAAGCATTTTATCATGACTTACAAGGTCAGGTGTTATCATGTGTTTTAACTTTTAACAACTCACTGACAATGCCCACATAGATAATGAAATGCAACTGTTCTTAACAGTTATAACGCATTATAATACCTGACCTTGTAAGTCATGATAAAATGCTTTATAATGTCTTATGATTATTGCTATAAAGCATTATGATCATTTATGAGTGTTAATAACTACAGTTATACTGTGCTGTAACATGATTATAATGCAGTATTAAGCCTTACCAAATTCCTTGGCTAGGTTGTGTTGTAAACCCTGCTGTTGGACGATTTACTTGGTTTTTTTAAACCTCACTTCCTTTTTCAAGGTGGGAAAGGAAAGAAATTTAGGGAAAATTAGGTTGCATCCTTCAGTGGGAAAATCAGGAGCATAAAGCATATCAGGAAAGTAGAAAAGGAAGTGCATTAAAGACAACTTTTCTAGAGAGTTATTCTTAAAGGTGCAAAATTGTTGTTGTTGTTGTTGTTGTTGTTGTTGTTGTTGTTGTTGCACTTTCCTAATAGCAAAGACCGAAGCTTGCCAGGTAAAGCCAGAGTGCAAGAAGAAACACCATGTGCATTTGTGCATTAGGTTTGGGCATCGAATTTCGAGCATCGATGGGGACCAGGACTAACATTCCGATTCTCCCGGAACGGTTCAAATTTTAAAATTTCAAGTTTAGATGCCGGAGTCCGCTGACTGGAAGAAATAGCCGCCGAACACCAACGAGGACAAAGCGTATGAGACAGAGCCACACAGAGAGAGAAGAGAGACAGAGAGAGAAAGAGTGAGAATGAACTCTTATCTCAGTGCAACATTAGAAACACATTTATAGCATGCAAAGGAGGGTGAATGACCAACATGATTAAACACATCAAGATTCATGGAGGAGAAATACCTGAGTGCCCGTCTTTGATGCACTTTGCAGATGTTGTGCCATAGAATGCACCCCTGCCGTAGAATGCACCCCTGACGGGAGCGCAGATGAAAGTACATGACAAGGTGAAATAATCCAAGTTTTCCGTACCGTTAATGATTTTATTAAGGCTATTCAGATAAACCGAAAATGGTTAGCACCCTCATTTAAACCATGCATTTTTTTAAAATAATCTGCCTTTTAAAAGAATCGGAATCGAGAATCGATAGGAACCGCAATCGAAACAAGGAATCGGAACCAGAATCGGGACCGGAATCGGAATTCGAATCGTTCAAAATCAAATGATACCCAACCCTATTGTGCACCATAGTGTTAGTTAAATATGCTCAAGTGTGTGTATATGCATGCATGCACAAGAGTGTGTGTGAAATCACTGAAGCTGGAAGCAGTCTAGTAGACCTTGCAGGGAAGAATGCAGCTCAGCGGCGGAGACAGAGATCTTACTGTGTGAGCAGAACAGTACATAAAGATTGGGCTCCACTACTATAAATCAGTGTTTACTTTTTTTTTTTTTTTCCACCACGAAAGTGAGCTGCAGCCAGAAAGGATAAAAGAGGAGTAACACTGGGAGAAAGGCATCAATATTGCAGATACCTAGTTTGTCTGGAACGTAGAGCGGAGAAAACCTGCCAAATATGTGTGTGGGTGTGGACAACCATTTGAAAGTGTCTCCTTTACTTTCCACATTTCCATCTATCTTCCTGTGCTGAGGGACATTGACTTTTAATGGCCTTTTATAGCTCTGTTGGAGTGAGGAGGATTTACAGTCTGTCTGTCTGTCTGTCTGTCAGCGGCCCTGAGGAGGGTTGTCCTGATGTCCAACCATGCTCACTATCCAGGTGTTAAACAACAACTTGTAAAAGGAAAACAGCAATGGGGCCTTTCGGTGTGGACTTGTTGTGTTACCACTCTCATGTTTATGAGCTTGTTAGTACCTGTGCTTTTTTTAGCCTTCATAAAAGAAAATAACCGCCTACACCTGCCTCACCTCCTTCTTTGCTTTCAAGTGAGAGGAAACTAAAAAAGATTTTTAATGAAACCTGCTTCGTGTGAATGTCAGGCGAGTAAATCTTGAGAAAGCAAGACCAAACACTTTTTATTCCTCGTAGAGTTATTTGCCAAGGTGTGTGTTTGAGAGATCATTTGTGCATTTTTAGTTTTAGTGTCAGTGTGAGAAGATGCTGCTAATTATTTGTTTTTAAATGAGCCACCTTACTTAGCAGCTGGAATGGTGGTCCAGACTCCCTGTTCGAACACTTTGGAAAGCACGTCAGACATCTGATTGTCGCTTTGTCCGTGTAAAGTGAAGGAGGGGAGACCGAGAATGACGGAAAAAGACAGATGAAGTGAGAGAGAAAATGAGACATTAGAGGCAGAAGAAAATGGAGCAAAGAGCAACCTTGGAAAACAAAGAGGACTAGAGAGAGTACTTTTCCTCATCAGAGCATTTCCACATCCTTACACATGCACATCCAGCCTCACAACCACACACAAACAAACACACATACTTTCCATGGTCACCGGATCCTGAGACGACGCCTTGTGCAACAAGGTGGGATTTGGACTTAAGTGCAGTCAGATCAATTGAGCTGTAATGGTACCTTAGTGCTGAGGCCATTCTCTGAACCCCTCAGTCAATACCAGAGGCAGGTAGTGCTACTGAATTCAGGCTTTCACTCACAACTCGCCCTCCTCTCTGTTTCCACACCTAAACATTCCACCAAGCAGAGAATCCTTCACCTAATTGCTTGTTGGTTCACCTCAGAAGAGGATGAAGTGAAGGAGGAAACTTTTGCAATGCTTCATTTTTATTTGAGCAACATTATTTTATGAGTTTAAAAATGGTTTAATTCATTAAAAGCTTGAATTCTGGGAATTTTAAATTTGTTTTTAGAGGACAAAAATCAGAGGGAGTGAAGTACACAGAATCACAATCAGTTTCTGAATACATTTTGCTGTGTTAATCTGAATTTGTGTGAGAGAGAGAGGTGTACTTTTTCTAAGTGTGCACACATAAAGTCTTTCTGCCCGGTGACCCAGAGGAAATGGTAAGGAGCTGCATGCTTTAATGGTTTAAAGTCTGCGGCAGACAAATATATAGAAGCAGAACATTACACACCCTAACTGAATGTTAATACGCGTCGTATCGGCTGAAATCTGAAACGCTCCATATGAGATTCCATTGGGCTTTTTGCTTTCACCCGTTTCATTTTCAATATCTGTCCAGCTTGAGGAGAGGCACTTTGTTTTACACTGATAGCCTGCGCTTTCTGTCTGCCCGGTCTATGTCTGGGCTCAGAGTATCAGCTCACTCAGACTCTGGGTGTGAAGCTTGTCCAGTCTTCTGCAGTCTCCTCTTTGTCTTAGTGCTTTTAAAACAGGCGAAATGGAGCTAACCCCAAGCAAGGACTTGTACCTGAGATCTGAATTAAAGGTGCAGTTTTTTAACACTCTGTTTTTGATGTAAAGAGTTTAACAGTCCAGATACGACTTTAGAGTCACAGACGACTGTTTTAAAAAGTTTTTGGGTCATTAAAACTTTGTTTAAACACAAACAGTGTTTGCTTCCTAACTATAGATGATTCACTGCACACAAGCTTCCTAAAGTGAACACACGTGAGAGCGTTACAAAACAGAAATGTAGAAAGAATTTCCATCTTCAGTACATGGAAAATCAATCCTGTTGACAGACTGTTGTATTTAATATTTGAATTTATTTAGATTCAGTCACTTAAAAGCATTAAACCAAGAACATGACCACACCATCTGTGTGTGTCAGTTTGTGACGGTGTAACCCAACAGATATTAAAGTCCATTGGACCAGCTGGATGGACTCAGTACAACATAAAAACTACAGCTCACTGTAAACCACAAAATGAGTTGTTTTTGCCAATTCATGTTGTCAGTGAACATTATGGCAACTTTATACTGCATATTTCTATTTTGATAGAAAGGTCAAAGGTCATAGTTTTCACCAGCACAATATTGCTACCTGGAGACATAGAGAAGTAAATTATTAAATTGCTACATCAGTCATTTGCATGTCTGCACTTTCACTAGTGTTAAAAAGAAAGAAACAAACAGCAACACAGTTATTTGCGTTGCTTGTGAAAAACAGTTGATGTGAGAAACTTCCTGTGCATCTCAAGAGCCATCACCCTGATTAGCACCAAGAGTTTCAGAAAAGCAGGAAGGGAAAGGCACCAGCGAAGACGAGTCAGTTGCTTCTATTTCAAAAATTTGACAAAACCCAGATATATGGCAGTAAGCACCGAAAGATACTTCAGTGCTCTTAATAACCGGTCTTTCAGTGTGGCTAATGATGTACTATGAGCCTCACTACACTGTGCCGAGCCAGTGTTACTTCTTAGATGCAGCCTCACCTGTCCGGAAAGCTTTGTCCTCAGGCACATTGATGTTTGTTTCCAACACAAACAGACTGTCAAAGTAAGAGTATTTTTTTTTAGAACAGAGGGGACTTGGTATTCTTTAGCATTAAAAAAAGCTCTATCTATTCCAATATCAGTATTGGCCAATATGAGTTTTAAAATTATACCATATCAGATGCTAGGAAAGCTCCTAGTCTTATTTCAAAGAGGTCATAGGTCACCAAAAGCATCATCCTGAAGATCATGAATAATTTGAAACATAATTAGCTGACAGTAGCAGCTTCTTCATCAGACTGCTGCATGGATCACCTTTCCAGCTCAAACCATCGTCACAGTGAGCATGTGAGGCTGCATCAGTTATACTTTAATAAAAGGTGATCTCAATCTGAAGGACTGTGAAATTAACAAATATCATTTGTGTTATGTCATCAAGCCTGATAAGCTTATCCTTGCATGCAAAACACAATCATGGACCAGATAGATTTTAGAAAGATAAAGCAGGAGTATTCACAAAAACCCTTTCACACTGTCACTTAGCTATCAAGTGAACGAGGAAGTTTTGTTCTTCACTGGAGCACTGGAAAGTTCCTGTTATATCCTGGCAAATGACCTAACCCCCATGAGTATTAGTAACATCCACATCATGCTGAAAGTGTCTCATAGCTTCATGTTTGATGTGTCGCATACATGACGCCTGATGTGTCACAAAAGCTCACTGAGGTTTTGTATCACTGTGTGCTGGCAGATGATGCTGTTTACATGCTGCTCACACAAGTTAATATTTGTGATCAAGGTGGGATTGTATTACTGCATGTCAATGAGACCCTGTGTCACCTCTGTGGGATAACTGTGAGAAATGACTAAAATCATCCTTTTGGTCTGCAGAGACTTGAAGAGCGAGAGAAGAGGTGCAGAGGGTGATATGGGGGGAGGGATCATTTTAAAAAGAGTGAGACTTGATGTTCGCAGATAATCTTGAGCATATCTCTGCTCTGCTTGGTACTGTGTGTGTGTGTGTGTGTGTGTGTGTGTGTGTGTGTGTGTGTGTGTGTGTGTGTGTGTGTGTGTGTTTTACTGCTGCTGCCATGTCCAACCATTCCTCAGAGCTTTGATGACCAGCTGAGCCCTTCACACACCTCTGCTTCCTTCATTGTGGCCTCAGGGACACTGGAAACCTTAGGTAACACGAATGTTTAAAAACAAAAAAAAAGAGTGTCTGATTTAGTGCTTCCTTTCTGATCAAACTGATTGATTTGTATTTATCTTAAGCCCACTTATTGCACCAGTATAAGGCCAGAATCTGCATGTAATGTGAAACCAGTGACAGTGACAACATGGCTGTGACTGCGAGGACATTTTGTCCCTGAAGTCCTCATGAGACAGGGCTGCATCCGTGGACCACACATACACACATGCACGAGCATGCACATTTTGGTGCTCTTTTAATGAGAGTATCAGAGAACAAAGCTGATAAAAATGCATGCCACAGCCCGGCCTTTAAAAGAGAATAAGAAATGGGCTACTGTGCTGCCATGCAGCATGCCTAATCACACTGCACACACAGCACACACAGCTCACAGACTTTCACATACTCCACTGGAGGGAAATACGTAACACACACTACACACTGCACACAGCCATATACACAACACTTAAAAAATGTAACACTCAAATGCAAATTAAAATTGCTTAAATGTATGATTGCAGTCCATGTTAATGCAAGCCAATGCTTCGTCAAATGCACAGGTTGTCTAGAATTTCCCTGAAAACAAACTTTAACTCTGGTTCTATATGTTTGCTTTACAGTGTGCCAACAAACAGAGTCATTTGGAGTACACTGAAACTGTTGTATTTAGATTCCCTCTGAGCACCTGGATTCTTTCTTTATTTTCTTCAAATAGTCCCAGAATTTCTCATCTTATCTGCACCAAAATCTAGTTCTTGTCTTGATTTTATGTATTTCTGATCTTGCCTGTTTCACTCTGACCAGCATCGTTCTTAATATTTATCTCTGTGATTTCTTATTTTATGTATAAAATGAAACAAGAATAGATAAGACCCAAAAAGGTGGAATAAGATTAACTTTGTACATCCGACATAAATTCTGATGTTAGATTACTCTTAAGTTACGGGACAGTAGAATGAGAGTATGACTAGAGAGCATTATGTATGTAAAAGAGGTTGAAGGTAAAACGCAAGGACACAGCCAATGAATAGAAGTATTTATACAATAAAAACATCTTGACAAAGCAGTAAAATAGTATTAAAGGGCAGTAACCTTGACAGGAATATTAGTTTTGGTATTCAAACATATGTATTTCAACAGAAATGAATGTAAAAATGACATCAAACATAATTGTGTGAATCTTTGGTCAGAAAAGTCATCTCCTCCTCTGCTGTTTTATCTCAAGTAGGTAAAACAGTTTCCTCCTACTGTATCTCTGCCTGTCTTATGTCTCATTTTCTTGTTTGGAGCCACTGCTGTTGTTTTGTTGTCCACTAGGGGGCAGTGGCATTACACTGATGGACGAGCTGAGGTATGAGGCCTGGTTGGAGTTGACACACACTCCCAGGAAGTTCCTGAGCGCAGCAGCGAGGCTGAGCTGCATATCAATGAGTGATGATGAATAATGAAGGTTCGAGGAGGGGAAAGCATTTTGGTATTAATGTGAATCTGTTGTCTTTCATTAAGATTGCAGAGTAAGTCCCTTTGTCAAGAGAGGAGTGTTGACACACTCTTTTCTGGGTTGATAATTGACTCTGCGCTTGTGTGTAAGTGTGTGAAGAAGAAGTGTGCTTGCAACACAAGTTGTCACTCAGCAGCAATAAGGGAACTCTTCTCCTGTTGTCTGACACTGTTTGAATTTACCGTGCAAACACAGAGCAAGTGTGTGTGAGTTTAAAGAGTGTGAGCTTGTGTTTTTGGCTTGTTTATACTTAAGATTTTCTGTCGGTGAATGTTGAAAGTTGGTGGCTATTTTGCAAGTCTGGTCATACCCAACTTTTTAAATATTACTTTAAGTCTTAACATTTTGTACCTGGTTTTAGTGTGTCTGTTTATGTGTGTGCACCAATTATGTATGAGGAAGAATATGGTGTGTTGGCGTGTGCGAGTGTAAACAGGAGAGACAGAGAGAGATGGGGGAGGTGCGTGTGATGTCTAGAGTGGGGATCACATTCAGCCTGGGGGTAGGTGAACCTATTGTAAACAATGGATCTGACAGAATGTAGGCCTTCACATCTCCACTTCTCTCTCTCTCTCTGTGTGTGTGTGTGTGTGTGTACCTTCATTCAAGGCCACTGGAGGCCACTGAGGAGGAACCCCAGTGCAGACTGGCCTCTCTGACTGAGTGTCTTTGTACCTCCACTCTCCAGGGGCTTCTTCTGTTTGAGGTGAGGGAGAGGAGGAGCAGGAACAAGAGGAGGAAGACAAGGAGAAGGAGAAGGAGAAGAAGAAGAAGAAGAAGAAGGAGGAGAAGGACTGAGGAGTGACTGGATGCAGCCGTGGCCTGTACACCCTGTCCATAAAAGAGCTTCTGAGGGGCAGAGAGATCAGAGAAGACAGAGACGGCTTACAGGTGAGTCCACATCCTGCGCAGACTCACAAAAAAAGTGGACGGAAAAAAGAGAGACTAAGAAACAGAAAAAAAAAAAAACATATCTGACAGAAACAGTAACATTTAGTTTCTCCATTAATGATTCATTTTCCGGTGCAGACAACGATTTAAAAAGCCCATCTATTCATCCATCCATCCTTTTTTTTCTGCTTATATGGGTTGGGTCATGGTGGCTCTTTTTGATGCAAAGTAGCAGTGGCTCTACTCTGATTCTCCCCCCTGATGTCCAGACTCCTGACCTCATCTCTAAAGCTGAGGCTAGACACCCTTCAGTGGAAACTCATTACAGCTTCTTGCATCTGCTATCTCAGTCTTTCAGTCATCATCCATAGCTCATGAGGGCTGGAACTTAGATAGGCTGCTAAATGGAAAGCTTACCCTCTGGCTCAGCTCCCCTTTCATCATGAGGGTCTGGTACAAGGCAACATTATTAGTGACGCAGCACCAATCTGCCTGTCAATCATACAGCCCATTTAATCCTCACTCATTAACAAGACCCTGAGGTACTTGAACTCCTTTGACCATGACTTGGGAGTTATCCAGGCTACTCCACATTCAGTTTCAAACTGTCCCAATGCTAAATAAGCAAACGGCAACAACATCATCTGTTAAAAACAGAGATGGAACTCTGAGCCCCCCGAGCTGGAGACCCCCCTCCAATGTTTCCTGAGATCCTGTCCATGAAGATTGCAAACAGAGTTGGTGATCCTGGAAGCCAATACACACCGAGTACATGTCTGGCTTTGTGTAAAGTATGCAGACACAGCTATCACTCAGATTCTTACCATAGCTGTTGGGAATTGAAATATCAATTGAGCTGAAAAACCACTCACTATTTTGATTTTAAAGAATTGCTGTGAGGTTAATGTTAATTTGTTGGTTTTCACCCACTGAGCAATAGACGGCCATAGACGCCTAGATTTTTTAGACCTAATTTCAACTGTCTAGATTCTGTATATTTGAGCAATGTACAGTTTAGTACAGATATAGCCCAGATTTAGATTTGGTCTAAACTTAGTCTAAATTTAGATGTCTAAAAAACTTTCATTTTTAGACCTGTGGTAGCCTGATTTTAGACCAGATGTCTAGGCTACATTTAGACGTCTATCAGACCTCTTTGAGACCAAAAATGCTCAGTAGGCAGTTTTCCACTTGGGGTTGAATTTAACAACCATAGAAAAGACACATTGATATCTGCAAAAGTGATGTAAAGGAGGATTTCCACTTATTCAACAAACAGATAATAAATAAGAGAAGACTTTGATTAACTCAGTATTATAAGTATTTTGTCTTCAGTGCCCAGCTTGATTCTTCTTCATTGCCTCGAAGGACTCGTAGAGTGGATGTTTTTGTAAACGACTGCCTCTAAATGGTTAAAAGTTTTAATCATGATGATTTACCAGTAGAATAAAAACAAACAAACTTGTAGCGCAACAGTTTCATGGTTACGTTCGCGATACTTACAAGTGTACGTCTCTGCACAATGCTGCCCTCAGGTCCTTATTCTCCTTCTCTTCATTTTTTCTTGACCTCTGCCGTCTCACCTCTCACACTTTTTTTTGTCGTTTTCTCCTTTCTGCCCCCCCCCCCCCCCTCTCTCTTAGGATGAAACTGTGGGGGAGGTCAGCTTGGCCTTTGCAGGTGGCCCTCCTTGTTGCCTTGGTGATGCTCTGCGTTGACCCACTGTCTGCTGGCAGCCGTAACCACCGGGGACCGACAGGTACACCAGGTCTCGCTCTGCACCCCCCCCTACCTTTCAACACCAGGAGAGGTTAATTACACTGTCACTAAGAGGGTGCAACACATGTTCCCTGAGCCTGTCGCTGACTGAGCCATCCCTGTCCTGCAGGAGGAAGAGGGGGCTGAACAGGGACAATTTACTCTGTCCCTCTCTTTGACACAATGTAATCTAGACAGGGCCTTGTTTTGGGCTTGGATGCAAACACGCCCCAGTTTGAGTGACAGAGCCCGTGCAGATACAAATGGCACTTAAGCTGTCAGGAGCTGTCAACACAAATAGATCAGTGTGGGTGTGATCTGATCTTTCCAGAGCGCTTACGGGGATGGAGTTGTTGTTCCTGAGCAGCTTGATCTTAGCGGTTTAGTGTTGCTGTAAAATTGGATGCATGTCTCATGTAGAACAAAACATACAGACACATGACTTCTAATCTCTTTGGCTTTTAATTGCAAGTGCTTGCTTTAATAGATATAGGTCTCTGGACAGTAACCCCAAATTTGTCCCAAGCAAACTATTAAATTCCCCACGAAAAAAATCAAGAAAAAGAGAGAAAACTATCGACAGTGCTGACTGAAGTGAGGGCAACACGTGAAATTTACTCCTCTGTTAATTTCCATAAGTCCTGGACACAAGCATCCAAGGATGACCAACACATTCACATCCACATTTCATAAAAGGCCCCTCAGGGTCAGTAGCGCTGAGTCACAACATCTTGTGCCTCAACTTGTTAGCCACAACCGCCCGCATCACCACCTCTGCACATTTAATTACAACAGTTTCCTTAATTATCTCCTAGTTTTTCTACGCTCTCACTGCTCCTGTTTTGCAAGGTGACCTTTACATGCCACAGAAATGCTGCCAGCATTGAGCCTGTGCACTAAGTGATTGTATTAGTTTCCTTTTGACAGAGACGAGGCAGCCTGCTTACGGCGGGGACATCACTAATTGCAGGCCCTGTGTATTGTGAAGGTCACCACAGGGACCAGCCTCTTTCCTTTTTTCTTTCTAAATCAAGAAGAGCTGCTCCCAAACCGACTACACTTTTTATTAGAGGGTTTACTCTAATTGGTAGAAGTTTAGGACCTGTTGGCTGTGAATACAAAATCATGAACACACAGTCTTTTGAGGGTGAAAAATAATTGGCGGTGTGTTCAAACTGCTGGCTACATTTTCCGTGTTTTCTCCTTAAGTAATTTTCCGGCTATGTTGTTGGCAGGTCAGTCAGGCATTTGATCTATGGAAGTGATGATGTACCGTTTGCTGCCACATGATGGCTCTAGAGGTCAAAAAATGCTCCAAGTGTGTGCATTTTATTTATCCTGCTATCCTTTTAAACCATCATTTTACAGAAACTAACCTCAAAGAGTAATCTGTGATGAGAATAGATGCAGAGTATTCATGCCGAAAAATGAAAACTGACAGATGTCACTTTGGGTAAATGTTGGGAAAAAGCCATACTCTTTCTTTTAATATCTCATGGCAGCACTCTTACTAAAATTGAAATGAAGAATAAGCTTCCACATGTTTCTCTGCTCACAGTTATGTAGTTTCATCTGGCAGGTGCTGCACAAGGTGAAAGAACTGGTTGATTTTAATTTTTGTTGCATTTCTTCTGACCTGCAGATGGCAAATACATAAATATTTATCAAGAAAAATAATCATATTCACATCATATGCCTTCTTGTAAGGCACAAACTAGCAAACAGCTGTGAGGTTCTCACTTGTAGAACTTAAAAGAAGTCAAATAAACAATTATTTTCTGGGAGAATGTCGGGATCATTAGTCCAGCACAAAATAATGTGTTGATTATCAACTCTTACTGTTTCCAATTGTGTGTAATTCAATCAGCATGGGAAAGAGCTTTCTCCTCTCGAGGTCCATATCTTAACACAATGAAATATTCAGAGCACAAAAGCTATCAAATGAACTATTCATTACACTTACAGCCATTTTCACAGTTTGCCCTCTCACAAACAGAACCCAACTGTGTATAAAATTATGACAGCCTTGCTAAACATGCAGTGAAAAATACTTTGGTTCACCTCTAAAGTTCTCTCTGCTCTCAATGTTTATTCTTTTATGGTAACAATCATAACAATCACACGGTGAATTCATGCAGGTCACACAAGAAACGGCATCCCAGGAGCTGTCAGGGTAATCCTACACAACTGATTAGTCACTCCAACTTTGAATGCTGTTTCTCATTGAACCAAAATGACTTTGCTGGTAAAATGATTGATTGTGTTTTCACATCTCAAAGAAACATTTTTCTGTATTCCACAATTAAATCTCAAGAGATACACGTCTCACATGCTCCTTCACTTTTCTGGTGTAAGTGCTTGAAATTTTGGTTATCTGAGACCGCCATTTCACTCACTCTCTGGCAGAGGTAATACACTTTGTTCTTAAAAATGTAAACGTGTGTATGACACATTGTCATGTCTCGTTAAAGCATGCGTAGCCATTTTTTCCCTGGTGTGCTAACTAACTAGTAATCCATGATCCAAGTGTTTTCTTAAAGGGATATTCCGACTTAATATTAATTCAGGGTCAAACACACCGTAACACCAAGTGAGACACCCTGTTGTGAGATGAATGTTGCCGATCGCTTGCTTCTCTAGTTATACCAACTTTAGTAACAACTGCACAATAGCAATACAGAGAGCCACACGCACAACCAAAAAGCCACTCTATAGCCACAAATTATGCTCAGAACAGCACCTAACTTCATCAACAGTACATATAGGGTCCTAGCCATAGTACTAGCCACCAAACACCTTTTTAGCTTTGCCTGATTTCTTTAGCAAAGAGACTAAACACAACTCACTGACTGCAGCGGGGGGAAACAACTCAAGGAAGAACATTTATGATCATTTCCCAACGGAAATGCAATCAGAAATACAAAATGATTAATATGATGATTATTACTTCAAGGAAATGATAAAGAAATGATCATAAATGTTCTTCCTTTAATTGCATCACCCTGCTGTAGTCAATGGACTGGCCCGAGGTCTCCGTACACACAAGTGGCTGCTGTAAGAGAGTAGGTGAGTTTGGTGTTTAGTCTCTTTGCTGAAGAAATCAGGCAAAGCTAAAAAGATATTTGGTGGCTAGTGCTGTGGCTGGGACCCTATATGTACTGTTGATGAAGTTAGGTGCTGTTCTGAGCATTATTTGTGGCTATAGAGTGGCGTTTTGGTTGAGGTTTGTGTGTGGCTCCTGAGACCACTGTGTATTGCTATCCTGCGGTCGTTACTAAAGTTGGTATAACTAGAGAAGCAAGCGGTCGGCAACATTCATCTTTCAAGGGTGTGTCTAACTCGGTGTAACGGTGTGTTTGACCCTAAATTAATTTTCCCTTTAAATTTCCAAAGAGATATATTTCTACATGAACCCGTGCTAGGGTGGTATTGGGACCTCGTGTCTCACCCATTTTCTGCATGACAATAGCACTGCTGAGGCTACTTTTATACTTAGGCATTTAAAATTAAACACACTTTTCAAGACACAACTGTGTACTTCTGCAGCCATTAATATTTAAGCATGAGATACAACCATTTGTGTGTTCTCATCAAAGGCTGCTTTTAAGATGTCTCTTTAAAAAAACAGCAGGGCATGGTCTGAGAGGGCAGAGTTTATTGGTGATAGATTTGTTGTGAAGGAAGACTCAGATGCACCTGTGACCTGTTAGTGTAGTTACTGTGAAGCCTCTGAGCCTGTTAAATGCTCATAATGGCAAGAGGACTGATGGGATGTGTAGGATCAGGCTGAGGAAAGGATGGGCTAAGTGAGGCCGGGAAGGTGGGTGAGTAGGGGCAACAAGTGATCTTACAGAGCAGAGAGAAAGGGATTCAGCAACATAGATTTTAAAAAATCTGTTGATTAGCAGCTAAAAAGGATACAGAAGGATAAACTTGATGTATCTTTCCACCTTGCTCCACATAACTGATCACTAAATCAGGCTCTCTTGAAACTTACCCACCTGTTTCTGCAGAGACTTATAGTATGTCACCTCTACATTGACTTTGCTGTCCTCTGACAGATTTTCTGAGATATCTGGCCTTTCACAGCGGCAGACATGCTTGTCAGGTATTGACAGGGGAAAGACACAGCTTTTTGATAAATTGCACAAAGCTCCTGCTCACCCGTGTCTGTCAGACTACATCAATCGCCTGACTAACCCATCAGTTCAAGGTAGCTTGGTTTGTTGGCCGCCCAGCCACTGTTGCCACCCCCCACCACTACCTTCCACACCTCCCACCCCACCTCCCTTTTTTGCTTGCTGCAGGAGTAGAAGCATTTAGCCATGCTCCAGAAGTCTTCTCATCTCAGCATTTGCCGGGCTCTATTACACTGAGATGGCCATAACAAAATGGTTTAAAGGCAACACTGAGACATTAGATACACTCTTATTATGTGTTTATAGCTAGAGGCGGACTGCTCCACACATGCATCTTTAAACAGATGAAGGGTGAGAGGCAGAAGCTCCCTGAACTGAGAGCTGGGAGGAGGGACAGACAACACTGAGAGCGCTCTCAGTCAAGTTGTTTGACTTCACCGTGTACTATGGTACTTTTTTAAGTGTCTGGGGCGAATCCTTTTTATTCAGATCAGGATAATTGACTTTGGCTAAAGCCAGATGACAATCAACAAAAGGGGTCACTCCTAGTGTCCTGAATTTGTCAGGGTCTTAGATTTTTAAATTACAGAAGAGACTGAAGCTGTGGATAGAGCGATTTGACATATTGAGCTCAGAGTCACCCATTAAACAGTTGAACAGAGTGAAAAAAAAAAAAAGCTGGTAACATGAGACTCTTTGAAATCTTGTCTTGGTGTGTTATCAAAGGAAACTTGGCCTGGGAAAATAAACGCTGAGAACAAATTTACGATCCCAGATAATCACATACTGTTGACTCTTTCCTGCTCGTTTTTGTAAAAACTCTTCTCCAGTTTAACATCTAGCTGCATAATGATCTGCACCGGCTATGCTGAAGTTCAAACACAGCCTAGTCTGAATAATTTCGGATTTAGCGCAGAGTAAAGACACAACCAGGGGCGTGTCCAGACTTTTTCAACTAGGACACAGGCATGGCAGAGGTGGCAAGGGTATCTATGCAAAGTTACACAAACTACATGAATAAAAAGTATCCCCCCCCCCCCCCCCCCCCCGTATCACTGTTTACTGCCAGTATCAAACAGTTGTTGAATTCTTTTTTGAAAAGTTTTGTGAAATTTTCTTGATTTGAGTCTTTGCAGGGACAAAAAGAAACTGTTTGTCAAAAGTAACAATCAAAAGCTTCAACTAAAGAAAATGTGCCACATTTAAATACAAATAGAGATACTACCAACCTGTCACAACACAGCAAAACCCGATGATTTAAACAAAACCCTCACCTCCGACAAATCAAAAAATCATAGCTAGGGATTTCAGTGGGGGGCGCCTTGGGAGGCCAGTTAGCTTTGCCCCGGGCACTCTTCTGGACATGCCCGAACTTGTAAAGAGCAACAAGCCTCTGTTCTCTAAATAACAGCTGTTTATTGGCGATTAAAAACTAATCAGATTGTGAGAAAGTCTAAAAACGAACATTTTTTTCAATCACAGTTGTTAGCTGAGCTAGCATTGCAATGAAGCGAACACTACTGTTCAGAAAATTGTTTGCCCTTGATGAACCCACCACCTCGGTCTAGCCAATCATTAGCTTGTGTTAGCATGCTGACACTGGGATTCAGCTCACGGCACTACACTGTCCACATAGCTTACAGGACCACTCTGTCCATTATTCAGACTCAGCTCCTGGTGACACTACAGGCTGCTTTAAATTGTGTATAAGAAGTGTTTCATTCCCATGTGTGAGACACCATAAACTCAATGTGTAAAAATGTAATTTACGCTTCTACACTGAACATAACAGCGTGAGAGTCTTTGAAAAAGCATTTGCTTTCAAGACATGAAATTGCCTTTTAACTTTTTGTCAGTGGGCAACAAGAGTGGGTGGTTTAGAGTTCATCTCTCCCACATAATATAGATTTTGGCTAAACTCTGTATGTCTCTAACCTCTATCGATTGACTGCAGACCTCTTGTGCTTAAGAGGGAAAATAATAGCAATGCTGGTTCTTCAAAAGTCTATATTTGTACTCAAAGAAGGCCCAAGCTTACTGATATATAATTTAGACATACACTGAATTCATGCTCTTATCATGGAACCCAACTATCACCCAACTACCTATCAGTCTTTTCTAGCACACTATAATCGATCTTGAAAGAGAACTAAAGAAAGGCATTTAGAAATCACATTTAGGTGCTGCTTCCCTGCCACCTTACAGCAGCTTGAAATGATCCTGCATCTCTAGCTTCATTCGCTTTTGTTAACTTCCAAACTCAATGCACAAAAAGGAACAGGAAGTTATTAATATGAAGTTCAGGTGAGTTTACCTCACCCTGCAGCAAATCGCTGAAAGGTTCACAGATTTGAAATACAAACAGCCCCAGCTCAGGTCTGATGTAAGCAATAAAGAGAGGAGACCTGTGAACCCGCTGACCTCATTATGCCAGCAGGAGGCGAGCCACTCTTTGTTCTCCGTGCGGTCCGTGACACCACTTCTCCTCCTCCTTTATGACTCCCTCACTCTCTCTCTCTCCCCCCTCTCTTTCCTTCTCACTAACAAGCTGCCTGTTCTGAGATGAGGGCAGCCGATTGACCGGTCATACCCAGAGTCTGGTCTGCGCTAACAATAGAATTAATTCTCGGTACAGAGTAATGATAATAAGAGAGGGCGAGGGTCTGATTAAAACAAAGGCAATTTGATTGTGTTTGAATTAGACTTTCATTAATTTACATTGTTACTGGGTGCTCTCGTTCTGATTATTTCTGTATAATTACGCCTTCACGGGTAGCTCTCTTGCCCACTTTTTTTCTCAGCTGTTTTATTGAATAAGAGGTTTTTATCAGTGGCTATAAGTTATATGTGCTATTGCATGCTTGTGTGTGTGTGTGTGTGTGTGTGCGTGTTTGTATGTGCGTGCAGGAGTAATACGGCAGCTGCTTCAGCCTCATGAGAGCTTGAGACAGAAGAGTGAGGGAAATGAAAGTGGAGGGATGATAGCGGAGGGGCGCCCTCAGAGAACCTGGGATCATTGATGGGGCTCTCTGGAGAAGAGAACAAACAAACTTTAAATCAGAAAGGATGAGAGGGGCCGTGGCCTGCAGAAATGGAACCCTCTGCAGTTTCTGTGCGTGTGTATGCTTGTGTGCGTATGGCTCTATGTGTGTGCCGGCCTGCAAATCTCATTCAGCTGAGCATGAAAAGTTTTGGAGTCTGGGTAAAGTCACGTACATAAATGAAATCTGGGCTTATGGTACAGTATAACTGAGGTTTTTGCAGGGCTGTAAAGAGGCTTATAGGTAGTAATGTCACCAGCAGGGTTTGCTGTGCTTGGGGGAAACGCTGCCAGAGACTCAGGAGTGCACGACAAGCTTTTGGAGCGAAAGATAAGGCAGCTGGAATCTGTTCAGAAGCCATAAGCGAAGATTAGATATACTAAACATTTTACCCAACATTTGTGCTCGGCAGGTTTTCTTTAAGGTGGCTACAAAACCCTCCTCCTAAGAGGTTCATGGGTTTAATGTGGCAAGTGAAATGTAACATTAGCATAGACATTATGCAGAACACACTGCATTACATTTACATAAGCCTATTCACACACTATCCTTGCAGCACCCACATACTGCTGTACTGCACATAAACAGGCTGCTCACCAACACATGCATCGGAATTCTGCACATGCCTGCCCAGTATCGGGAAGCACATGTATCTTGAAGAACAGATATACTAGTCCAAATAACAAAATACAGCTCCCAGAGGAATAATTAGGATGATCAAGGCGAGATTTAAACCAATTGTTTAAGTGGAATAACTCTGATTTAAAGCATATTGCTTCAGTCACATCACACTCGCATGTAAAGCCACAGGAGAGAAAGGTTTGCGTTGAAATGTACTCTTTGTTAAGCGCAGCCTTCTGTCCTATTACCAACAAGACAATGTGATAATTAACCAGACGAAGGTCCCCGGGGAAGTGTGAAGATCGTCAAGAAAAATTAGATGTTGTTTGTGTTTTGAAGATGACAGGTAAAAAGCAATTATCCTCATGAATATAAATATCAGTAACAGAAATACAGGGAGGCAGACACACACACACGCTCACAGAAGCCAGAATGCATGGCACAGATGTGTGAAAAAGGGCGCACATGCTTCAGTATTTATATATTTGATCGCCCACACAAATAGAAAGACACACTTATTACAGTGATGAGCACCATCAGTGGGATGTTCTATCACATCACTCCTTCACATAATGTACAGGTTTGTTGTTTCCTCACATCAAGAAGCTTCTAATATTTCAAAGGAGCCAAAGAAACTATTATTTATTCAATATTTATCGCTTTCCTTGTTTTTTTTTCCCCCCTCCTGCTCATGATGATAGCAACAAAGCCGCTTCTGTCTCAAAGTTAATGAGGGCACTGGGCTGAGAATAAAAGCAAAGTATCGCTAAAGAGTGTTTACTCGTGAATCAGAGGCTGTGAGACTAGAATAAATTGAAGAGTTTATACAAAAGTAAATAATTCAGCAGATTTGTTTAATCCTCGCTAGAGCTGTTGTGGTGTATATTTGATTTGTTTTGCAGCAAAAGTAATTTGAATTTTAACTCACTTGTTTTGAAGTAAACACCAATAAGACAAATGTAAGTTGAAGAACTCCTAGCAAATATATATATATACCTCTTTTCTTTCCCATTTTCTTTCTCTCTCTGTCTCAGTCTCGTATCAGGTGAAGCAGGGGACGTGTGAGGTGGTGGCCATCCATCGCTGCTGTAATAAGAACAAGATTGAAGAGCGCTCTCAAACTGTCAAGTGTTCCTGTTTTCCTGGGCAGGTTGCTGGCACCACCAACGCCAGACCCTCCTGTGTGGAAGGTAAAACCCCCAAAAGCCTGTGTTTTTGACATTATTTATTCTGGTGAGATCCAACAAATGGGCTGTAGATATTTCTTAGAAAAGGCAGTCAATGTGCATTATCTTCTTTCACAAATTTGTGAAAGGAAAATGCAACAGTGGCCTGAAGTGATGGAGAATTGTTGTAAATTCTTTCCAATGTTGTAAAAGTAAAGACTTTCCTTTTGGCAACAGTAAAGAACATTTGGTTTGCTTCAATTTTGGAGCCCCATAGACAAAACAGGTCATCTTTTCTCTTGGCTGATCTCTGAACATGAGTGAAGAGTGTTTTCTCAACAAAAGTCTCATCCTGCTTTCTCTGAAGAGTCAAACACATCATCCACTGTTCATCTTATTCATTAGGGATTTGATATTTCTGAGAAATGCTGGAAACGCACACATAGTCGACCACTAGCCAAGCTTTGGACACTACCTCAACTAATGTCAGCATGCATACATAACTCCAAACCAGCACTATCCAACCATCAATTCCTCACTTTACATTGGCTCACATGTTGTGGGATGATCTGAAATCAAGTCTTGATTGTTTTGGATGGATTGTTTTTGGCTTGTTCTTGGTCTGCAGAGCTAATGTGAGCGTTACCTGGATCAATGGTGTCTGGTTTGTTGGACTCTCTGACAGTCAGCTCAGTAGATGCATGTTATTTAGTTTGGTGCTTCTTGAGAATCACTGGTCTTAGTGAACATCACAATATGTGTTAGCAGGGGTGACAGTAAGCCGGTACGCAGCAGTACGACGTACCGGGAAGACATAAACAGCATAAGCAGCAATGTATGTAGGCTACATTTGCTTACCGTGTTGCCGCACGTCAGTCTGCACTCTGCATCGTAACTGTAGTTTTCCAATAAGATCATGCTGCTTGTGAGTGAGTCGTATTTTTGATTAAACGCTGGTCGCCTAGGCGCTGGAGACCGTTTCCCGCCATATCCTTTCATTCTTCTTCTTTGTTTTATTGGTGGTTGGCAACCAACTTAAGGAGCGTTACCGCCACCTACTGGATTGGAGTGTGGCAGAGGAATCTTACCGCCTTTTGTGGAAGGACAGACCTTTTAAGAGACAGCTGCTTCAATTTTGATGCAGAAATAAAACAAAATGCAGAGAAAATTGATTTTATGTTCAAGATAAAGAGAGATGCAGCAGATGGTGATACTGTGACATCAGAGTCTGCACCTGCTTCAACTTGGGTGTGCTCCTCTTGTACAAACCTATGGGTACAGTACTTGCAAGAACCTTATCCTACTTAACCCCTGCCTATTGTGCTGCGTTCGAAGTTACCTCAGAAGTCAGATGTCCAAACTGGGAATGACGTCACTTCTGAGTTACCAGCATCTTATGCTGCGTTCAAGTTACCTTGATGGTCAGTTGTCGGAGCTGAAAATGACGTCACACTGAGTTCCCAGAGTTTCAGTTACCAAGTTGAAAAAAGCAAAACCAGAGGCCTGAAACAAGATGGCTACATCTACGAAAGTTATTTTAGTGCTTGCCCTATATTCGGACAAGGCGAGTGCTAAAATAACTTTCGTAGATGTAGCCATCTTGTTTACGCCTTACGACTTGGTAACTGAAACGCTGGTAACTCGGGTGTGACGTCATTCAACATGAAAAAATAGAGGTTCCATAGGTTTGTTCAGCTCTTTGTCATTACATTTCATGCAATGACTGATGCTGTGCTGAATCTGACAGGGTCACAGATGCTGTTTTCAATCTTCTTGCTTCATTAAAAGTGCTACATTCAACCTATCACCCGGAACAAATCATTACCAGATTCATTTAGTAACATAAATAAATGAGTCAGTGAAGGAAAGAGTAATAGGTTGCACTTTATTTTATATTGCTGCGAGGCTAGATCATGTGTCTGAATTGATTTTTTTATTCTGTGGCAGCAAATGAAACACAGTGGTGGCTGTATTCAGAGACGAACCTTTTGAATTAGATCAGAAAGATCACTGAATGAAATTGTGATAGAAAAACTTTAACTCTCCTTTCTTTTTTTTAAAAACAAAACATACAAAGGTGAGAGGCTGTGAGAGAGTGAACTTAAATTCAAGAAAAAAACCAAAATTACAGAGGACCATGAAAGATGTGGTCCCTTTTTGTTCATATAATTACACAAAATACATCCCCTAAGCTAGGAAAGGAATTATACTGAATATCTACAATGTGTAGTTAAGTTTCTAGATGTGCACATGCCATTGAAGGTTGACGCTTATGCAAATAATAGAAGCCCAGTCCCCAGTGTGTGTCTGCTTCCCTTCTTATTCCTGACTGGCTATGGAGGGAGGAAACATACAACAGCTGCTGGCCAAGCCGCCTCAGCCTCTAATTGGAAATTTAACTATCAGTTTTAAAAGGCCTAGTTTTCTTAGGGCAGCTTTCTACTTAATACACCACTAAAGACACCGCTAGAGTATAAGACAGATGGTGGTAAAGACAGTATTTTTAAAATATCTCTTTAAAGTTCAAAACATTGACCCCATGAAACGTGCAACCGTCCTGATGGAGCTGATCACCATCCAGATTAAAAGTAAAAATACGTGTTTTAATCCATCATATTAGTTATAAGACAGGCATTTCAAAGAGGGAAGTTTGGGGGGGAAAAAAAAAAGATGGAATCCAGTTGTTCAAAATGTACTCCACCCCAGCATGCACATCTCAGTGTGTTGCACCTGTAAACGCATGCTGTGTGGGAGTGTATTGATGATAGACAGATGAAAGCCATGGGTCGTTTTCATAGACCTTCTTTTGAGCCGTTTGTCTGCTCTGCAAGCTCCTGCCCAGCGAGAAACAAGCCGTGTCACTGACCCCTATCATCCACTGACGCTCTGCTGAGACCACAAACACACAAACAGTGTCAGCAGAGTCGATCCAATCATGCTGTATTAGCCCCCGACCGGAGCAAAATACATAGCGTTCTCATATGTGAGCAGAGCAAGTGAATTTCCTCTGACGCACAAAGGTTAGGCAAACTGTTAAGGTCAGTAAATGGGAGAGGAGGGGGACTATATCCACTCACACCGTCGAGATTGACTGATACATGACCAGCAGAAATAGGGATAGCGAGAATAGAGGTAATTTGTCTCAGATTGCAGATTTCTTGCCTTTGGTTTGTTTCATTTTACATACAGTAAGTTGTGCCATCACCCTGGTGCGACTAATCAATTATAACAAGAAGAGGATAAAACAAAATCTTGGAAGAAGTCACAAAAGATAAAAATGTGTCCATGCTGATAACAAGTTTCAGGGTGTCCTGGGCCCTAATGCGACATTTACTTTCATTGACTGAAATCATCCTTGGTTGTCTTTGGAGCCCTGATCTGCACGTTTTGTTTGATTTTATGAGCAAATATTTTTTTTAAACTTAAATCAGAATGAGAGAAAAACGTCTCTTGAGTTTTCATTTCATCACTCTCGGCTGTTTCTGCTTTAGGCGTGATCCCAAACTGTCGGAGTAACGTCCGTGTTTAGTAATCACAACCATCCACCCACCTCCCCTCCTCCATTCAGCTGCTGTTCCTGACTGTGACCTGTAGACGGTGCTTTTCCCATTCAAATGACTCCATCACAAACATACCTGAGAGTTCATTCCAGCACTATTTTCACCCAATAAAAAAGTAGATTTGTTGTTTAACCTCTTTGATGAGTTCCTGGGAGGGAACAATTGCTTTATAATGATAAAATCAGGCAACCATAGCAAAGATGATTGGCTTTGTAATGGAAGTAGGGATAAATAAAGGATCATGTGAAACTTTGCTAACCTTTTAGAACAGGTTAATTCTAAAAAATTCTTTCTTTTTCTTTGCCCCAGCTCTTTTGCTAAGTTTGCTAATCGTGAAGATTTACGCTGATGCAGAGATAACGGACTGACAGTTTACTCAAAGTCAGACAATGATAAACTCTTTAGTTGGACCTGATTGCTTTTCATTTTACTCCTCACAAACCCACACACACACACCCTTGCAAAAACACACAGAGGTGAGTTCCCCCGTCACACCAGTCATGAGGTTTTCTAATTTCCTTTGCAGATCCCTCCTCCAACTCTCACACCTCTCACTTCCGGATTCAGCGCTCAGCAGCACTTACCTCATGAGTCATGCTTGACCTCTGATTCACAGTCACAAAATATCTCACCTCACCCATCACGGTACTCGGCAGTACACTCTGTCACACACAAACACAAACACACGAACACACACGTGCTTCTCTCACCTTTCAGGCTTGAGCACTGATGGAAAGAGACAAACTCCTCTCAGTAGCTGCCTTTGTAGAGCAGCCATAGAGTAAATGGAGTTACATTATTGATGCGGGCTGAAAGAGGAGTAAATGGCAACAGGCCCATTACTGGCTGCGCTATGCAGGGGCCCATTACTGTGAGACTAACTTTTCAGCTGAACTTCATACATCATAATGTGAGTCTCCTTAATTTTTCCATAAACAATGAAACACTTGTATCTGTAGATGGTGAAAATATGTTAATATTCTGCAGTATGTTTTAAATGGCATTTAGGCACAAATTTGAGGGAAAAGTTGGTGTTACTACCAACGCCCTTTTTTTTTTTCAACATCAAAAGAGAGACTCTAGCTCTCTGACTCTGTCTTTGCTGATGTGCAGTGGTAGAAGGCTGAAATTAAAAGGGAAAAAAATGAATAAATAAATTTATAAATAAAAACAGGGTTGCAGGTGCACACAGATGGACAAAGAACTGAGATCATGTTCATGAGCTGCAGAGAAGCAAACAATTATGGAGTGAAATACTATCAAATCAAACTTTGTTAACATTTCTGCAGTTTATCAGCCGAATATAAGAACTTAACTGCAGATTGCAGTTTTTGATCCAAGTACGAAAAAATAATCTGTGCAATAAACACACAAATCCACATCATAAATTTCTATATCTTCACCACTGTAATTATGGACTATTGTGAGCTTGCAGGTTTTATCACCTGACTGTCAATCAAAGCATGCAGAGACAAAGATCATATATGTAATCTTATAGTGGACTGTGTGTGGAAAAACAGGCCCCTAAGTGAGCAAGATACAAAGCATGACAGTGACAGTTACACAGATCATCTCATATATCAATCATCTATAATATCATAGTATCATAGCTCCTCAACTTCATGTATCCTGTGGCCGTTATTTCTCCCAGTCTTGTCCTGCTGTCTTGGACTTATAACAGGCTCATAATTATGCAGATGAATGAACATTTTTATTCCCCTTTATCGACAGGACTGGCATTTGGATCAATATTCATTCCTGCTGAATATCAGCGTAATCAGAGACGAGCTCATTACATCATATCTGGTTGTCCGTTTGATGCGAAAGAAAAGTGAAACTTTCAAATTTCTCAATCCAGATGTCACTATGGTGTATCAATTTAGATATTTCACTGAATAAAACATTCAGAGTCATTTACCTACACTGAGCAAGTTGCCCTTTTAATGTTACACCATTTCAAATACTGCTTGATCACTATGTCAGTGTTAAACAAGATAAATGCAATCTGGAGTAGAAGGTTCAAGGAACTCTTTTTTTTATGTTTTGGATTCACGTGGTTGAATTACTAAAGTTAAACAATGACTTTAAGTTAGCTGCAAACTTTGAGTTCACTGAGTGTACCCGAAAAAGGTCCTAAAATCTTTCACAACTGCCATTAAAGCGTGTTTAATGTTGGAGAAAGACAGAGAGTGTAAAAAACACAATAAAAAACACTGAATTAAATCCACTGTGTGATTTGCAGAAGTCTGTGACAGAAGAAGTTGTGGTCCATTACTGGGCAAAAAAAATCTAGTCAAGTGTTTCAGCACACCTCTGCCTCCCCTTTATTGTAACATTTGTTCCGTAATATCTCTCCTCTGTCATCTTATCAGTCTATTTCTCTTTACGAGCGTAACCCTTCGCTGTGTATTATCTTTCCCAGTCAGTTTTTCCACTTGTGTTTTCTCGTCATGCATACCTGGGTGTGCTGGCATGGCTGTGTGAACCGTGCCAACAGAAAAACAGTGTTAGTAAATCATTGTGGAAAGAGATGGATGCCCCTCTCCGACTGCCTTTGCTCTGCTCTGCAGGATCACCGAGTGGAACAGTTACAACGCCTCAGGGTATCCATACCTCTGGGTCCATCCTCAACTTCTTCTCTGTGCACTTGTGATTGTGTGTCCGTATGTGTCTGTGGGTGTGTATCAGGAGGTGCATCATATTTCCTTTAAATATTAACGACTCGGGAGCAAAGCAATAGGATGGCCTGTGATTTTTGCTTTTATGCCTGACACTCACTGCACAGTGGGGAATGCGTGGATGTACACACAAAGGCTTCTTTCTATATGTGCACAACAACAGCAGGCTCTGCAACTATCTAGATGTGCATTCACAAAAGTGCAAAGTAAAAGTAAACTCCCCATTGCACTTTGTTCTGCTCTATTGAGTGAGTGCCTTTGTGAAGTATTAATGGGCAATACTCTCACAGATGTACGCCTGAGTGTTTAGATTGTGTTAGCAAGCCCTGCTGGACATCAAACAGGCCGCTTTTGAATGACACAATGTGAGATGTAGGGATTGAATCAGGTTGACTCTACCACAGGCTAATTTGTTATTATTTTACATGACTCCGATGAGTTGACCCTTTGGATATGCGCAGTTTGATCACAAGACATGCGTTTCTGTTTTCATTGTCAGAGTAAGTTAGCTGATCTGATGCCAAATTTATGACATAGAGAGCTCTCAGGTGAAAATACAGGAGAAATACTATCTGAGATACACCAGAAAAGTATGCATGTCAGAGTTAACTTGAATACTCTGTTTACTTTGCTGTGAGAATTTGATAGTATCCCTCACATGAAGAAATGCCATGGATCGAGATTATGCCAAAGAATAGGAATCTGGTCTGCTTGTAAGCACTTTAACACTTAGAGAGTCTGAACTCAGCACACACTCTAATGTGTCAAACACAAGTGATATGCAAAGTTTTGTTGCTCCAGTGAAGCTAGAAAATAAACATGTGAAACCTGCAGTTACAGTTTTGTCCACTTGATGTCACAAACATTACAACCACAATGCACGCAGCAACGCAGGAGGAAATAAGTAGCAGCTGTGTTGGCTCATATAAGCTGAGGCACCTGCTCGCATACACAAACAAAAATGAAACGCTGTATTTAAAACTTGCCTCACAATGACTGACACTTATCATGCTTGTGTGAGATTGACGTGTAGTGATCAGCAGGAGGAGAGACAGGGCTGTAGGCAGCCTCGTAGCGTGAAACCTCCGCAGATCTTATTTAGAGAACCCAAGAGAGTAGGTGCGAACCTGGGGAATAACATCGCCCCCAGTCCCTTGTGCTGCTTAATCACCTGCACCTAAAGTAAAGCTATGTCTAGACGCTTGCCCTCAGCGGTGCCTGTGCTGAAAGTTTGAGAGAACTTAAAAGGGAGCCATTTTGAGCACAGATTCAATTGTAATGAGCTGAGAGTAACTGTGATGAAATGTATGCCTGAGCTGTAAACCTCTGTAATTAGCGTATTCACCTTCAGAATGTGTGGACTCTTAACAAGGCTGGTGCAGTTAAGTAGGTGTGCACAAAGGAAGTCCAAGGGTTTTTCTTGTTTCCTCTGTTATTTTCATCCTATTCTATTTTAAGAACTTTGTCATTCAAGCTTTTACTTGACAACACCTTTTTTTTTTTTTCTTTACAAGCAGGTGAGTGTACAGCGAGTACGTCAGAAATGTTTGACAAAGGCAGGTATGTTGGAGGCATGTGAGCTGGCTCTGCTTTCTAAGTCTTCAAAGGTTCAGTTATTATATATACCGACAGTATATACCTGTGTATATGGGTCATGGAGAATATTGGTGAGATGAAGTGGTTAATTAACAGATGTGTAGTTTAATATTTTAGAAATGTTGTCCACTTAACTTCTCCATCGCACTTCCAAGGACAATGTTCCTGCATTCAGTTTGAAATAACTCTGACTGAAGATAAAAGTTCAGGTGTCGACATGGGATGTAATTTAATCAGATCTGCTGTGTGGTGTACAAAACAGATGTTCCTTTGTCTCTTTCTTCTTCTCTTCTGGTTCATAGAAACACAGCTAAACTAAACATGGTACAAGACATAGACAGTAGGATGGGACACAGTATGGGCTTCTACAAAAAGTCCATCATGGATTGATAGACCAGAGTGTGAAGCAAAAGAAAATCAATGAAAAACACTGAAGAGTGGGTCCACCAAAAACAAACTTTCTGCTGTCATTCAGTTTGACTTTGAAGCCGTGAACAGAGAGGAACCATATGTACATGAAAATGTTTGGCATGTGCAGTATTGACATTGTGTATCGAGATAGCTAAGTGGTATTTGTTGAACTTGTATTGATCATACTCTCTCACCCGGTTTAGTAAAGGTGTGTTGTTTGGTTAGGTGTTTGTGCGGGTTAGAATTAGGCTACTGATCTTTGTGGTGGACAGAGTTTTTCTCCCTGTACATGTGACACAACTCATCACTTTACTCATGTCCTTCACTTCAAACAGGGGAAAATAAAGCAGCTTTCTTCAAGACAAAGAATGATCATCGGCATTTCACATATTTGTCAAATAAGATATTCTCTAGGCATCACATGGCCAGCTAAGGCAGATGATGAAGTCGCCTCTGCAGCCAAGCTTTTTGCTGAGCGACAAGAGCAGTGCTATGAGAGGCCACAGTCGGCTAGTGGCGTAAGCATTTAATCCTTCCAAAATCTGGTTTGATTTCAGTTGGACCAGTCTATGTACGCCACTAAAACCAGGTTCTTAGAAGGCTGGGTTCTTCAAAGGCTGCAGCCCTGTTTTCGTCAGTGTTTTTACCACCTTAGAAGAAAATCTCATTAAACAACAATAAATAGTATAGATCATGATACCTGGCCAACAAATTCAACAAAATATATAACAAAAATATACAAATGGCTTATAATGAAAATATATATAGGAAACATGTAAAAGACAAAAAATGTATCTTCAGCCGCCAAAGAATTTGCATAAGCTATCATCTGGTGAACCCATAGACTGTATATACTATGGACAACTTGGTTCCGCCTTCCGCCAGTATACGGATTTGAAGCTGAAAAGCTCTCGGTATTTCCACATTCTTTCTCCACTTCCTGAAACCAACGTTGCACAGTAGCATTGTACGCACTCCACCACTTGCGCATTCGCCAAGAGAGTCGCTGTGATGACGCTCGGCTCAAACCGTGTATCCCCCAGGTGAGCTACACAATCTCTGTACATCCATAGGCTGTATCAAGTGTCAATCATAGAAAACATGAACCCCCAAATAACTTTTAAAAACGGAGCTTCACAGAAAAAAGAGGACTTGAGCACAAACCAGTCTTACATGTCAACATCACAACCAGGGGGGAGAAAAATTTTAAGTCTGTGTAATAAATTTCCAAAGTTTGTCCACAGCCCCATAAGCTTTGCTGGAGGAGGCAGGGTTTATGACCTATACTGCAGCCCATCAACAGAGGGTGCTGTTCTCACAGTGGCTTCACGGAGTGAGGAGGCAGATGCTGTCCATTCTACATACAGTCTATGGGTGAACCTCTATCAAAGATGGTTGCATAAATATGATAGAGGAAAAGTGATGATCCCAGGTAACTGTCCTTATTTACCAACTCTAAGACCAACCTGAGTCGAACACTGATGTTTTGCCTCAGTGTCAACAGGCAGAGATTAAATGGTTTGGATTGATTTAATATGTCTCATTTTTACTTCAGTTTCTGAAATAGAATTGTTTTACAGGTAATTGTAAAAAAAACAAGCACCTGAAAAAGATCCTGTGGTGATGCCAAAAACAACAAAATATAGTTTATTTACTTCAGAGACTTGAATGTTGTCCAACAATTACACATGGGTCTGGAAACTTTTAAAACTCTGTTTCTGCTATAGCCTTTGGTAACGAATGTTGTTGACAAGCCAAGCAAACTAGCTTTAGGCGGTAGTTCCAAATTAACTTCACAGATATGTATCAATCTTATCATGTCACTCTGAGTGAGAGAGTAAACATGAGTCATCATTAAATATTGAGTTACTCATCTCAAGTTGATTTCAAATGTTACACCTCAATAAACATGAAAGCGAATAAGAATCAGAAAAATCAGCTGCTATCTGTGCAATAGCTGCTCCTAAAGGCATTACAGGAACAGCGTGAATCCATCTCAGACTCACCACTCACCTCTGCATTTACTATAAGTGGGGAGTAGAGAAAAAGTAGTCCCAGAGGTGATGATCTCAGAATTAACAACTACAACACACTAAGCACCTCTGTAATCTCTTTATCATCGAACTGTGGAGACCCGTCTGTCTGTAAGTGCTGTCCAACATCTGACCTGTGTATGACATCACTGGTCCCATGCAGGGCTCCGGTTAAAGTCCAGCGTTACAGACAGGCGCTTATGAGTCACTCTTGACCCGCCCTCCCTATACAGCATGAGATAAGCTGCAGTGAACAGTGACTCCATGATAGTGCTCACAGGCCATGCCCATTAGCTCCAAATAACACTCTCAGTGTACAGCGCTGTCATCTGCATCATAATGGCCACATTAACAAGCATTACACAGCCATTGGCTTTTAGATCTACTCACTGCCACAAAGGCCATGCATCATAACACTGTGTTCAGCAACACACCCAGTGATGGCTGTTGTTTTTGTGGTAACTTGGCATCTTCATGTTGGCTCTCCACTCCTCTCTGCATGTCTTCTTGCCTCTGTCCCTGGATTTGTACGGTCTATTTTCCACTCTACTTCAGCCTCGTTACTCACCTTCTCTCTGTTCTCTTCCCTGTTAAACCTGGTAACAGTCATCCTCAAAGACTCTCTCTCCTCCTTACCCATCTCTCTTTCTGTCTCTCGCAGTTTCTAACACCACTCATTTCCGCAGTACATAGAAGTTTTTACATGAGCACCTATTATTCAGCCATATACGCTCCATCTTTGCTCCGCTTACATGATGCTTGAGAGGATTGAGAGGAATGTTCTCTCACATTATTCATTTGAAAGCCTTTTCCCCTTGCCAATACCACCTCATTTTATCCCTTTGTTGGAAACAATAGTCACTAGAGATAAAAATTCCTTTCAAAACACCATCAATCCACCAGTTTAATGAAGTTGGAGAAATGGGTGCACTCTTTTATCCCTCCGTGCGCCTACACTTGAGACAGAGGGGTGGATGGATGATGAGTTCGGAGAGAGAATTGAGTTATTCTCAGCTGTCTGGCTGTCTGCTGTCTAGACAGTGGGTCAGATGATCTAAAAGATTTGAGTGTCAGCTGCCGAGACATGAGAAATCTTTAGGCTGGATTTAACACTGGATTAAGCTGTGGAGTTTGCCAAGTTTTGGATCTGTGTTTTGCACATTTTTCTTGCATATAGAAATGCATAGGAAATCATCACTTCATATTTCCAGCAGCATGATACCATAAGGGGGGTGTAGTTGCTTACACTTTAAAAAGATCTACTCAGTTTTTTCACTTCATGCTATATATGCATAATCTATGCATGATCTATACAGATCACAAACAGAATTTATTATAACTCAACTTAAATTAAATGAGAGTACGTTTGCAAAAATACAGAAATTCACCTTGTAGATTAGTGTAAGAACAGGTTTTTTTTTTGCAGATACTTTTTAAACCCCCAGAAGCATTAAAGAAAAGACATCTTGCTATTTGTACACTTGAAAGAATTTGGTCAATTTCAGCCTAAGTAAAAAGCCCTTCATCATTTTTTGAGTTATTTCTTAACCCCTGTGACTGTTAGACTTTTATACCTTTAAACTGGCTTTAAGATCCCATGCTGAGGGGTTACTTAAATCTGATTGTAATAACTGCTTCACACTCCTGTAAAAATCACATATATTACTGATGTAAAATCACACGACTCCTCAGAAATACAGCAGTACAGTGTATGACAGCTGAGAAGCTCATAGAGCCCGCTGTACTCCTCTTACAGTAGGATCAGCACCACGGACAGCACCATCGACTTTTACACTGCAAAAACAAGCACTGGGTGCTGCTATTGGATATGGGGTGGGTCATATCTGTGACAGAATTGCTGAGTTATGAAGTAGGTAGATAAGTTCACATCACTCATATGTCGAGTTTATGCCTTTTGCTATCCTTTGTCATCAACTGGGCACTCGCTATTTTTTATTTTTCATCTACTATGTATTGACTTTTTTCTTTTTTTTTCCCTCCATGCTGCCCCAGCTTCAATCGTAGCCCAGAAGTGGTGGTGCCACATGCAGCCATGTATGGATGGAGAGGAGTGTAAGGTCCTTCCTGATCTGACAGGCTGGTCCTGCAGTACTGGCAACAAAGTCAAAACTACCAAGGTAAGAGGCACGTCATTGTTTTCAATTATTTTCTGCTTTTCTTTTTTTTTTTTTCTGTGCTCACACAGTCACCTTCATGTTTGTTCTGCCAATTTCAATTACTGTAGCGACTTTGATAACTTGTAATTTTGTCAGCAGCAACAAAGCAAGTAACCCGAAAATTCCCCTGAGAAACACTCAGTGTCCAGAGAGACTAGAAGAAATATTTCTGATCATCTTCCAGCTACACTAACATTTGATGTAGCCAGAACTGCGAAAGATCTTCAATTAAATTGATTTTTTTTCTGTCTGTGAAACATCTCGGCTCAATTTGTGTCTGGTAAGGAAACTTTTAACAGAATGACTCTTATTGCTATTTCTTGTAATCTATCTGACAGTAACAAGAAAGAACTCTGAGCTTCTTACCGAACAAATTAAAAATAACCTAATGAACAAAAACCAAGCTAATCAACAAAAAGCCCCACGGTAAGTGCTACTTGTTCATTTAGTGACACTGTATTCATTCAGTGACGATTTACAAAAAAAAAAAGCTAATGAGAGAAACACAAAACCTCTGTTCACTCTAAACAACCATTGTGTGACGACATTTTAACTGACTCTTTTCTGATGAGATAAATTGATTTAAATGAGGGTCCTTCATGGCCCTTTGTAAGCTGTTGAGGTGTGAAAAGTAATTTGCAGCACTGACAACAAAGGGGTGTGTATATATGTTCCACGGTGTGTGTGTGTGTGTGTGTGCACAGGGAAGGAGCAGCTGCAGTTTATTTACAGGTGAAACATTAAAAAAAAAAAAAAAAAGTTGAGAGGAAAGCAGTGCAGGCGCCATAAGAATAATTGCTTGAGAGATGGCATAACAGCACAACATCTGTCGCATTCATTAGGATGCATTACGGTGGGGGCCTTCCACTGAGGCGCTACAATTAAGAGTCATAATTACATTGGTGAGTGAGATAGACTGAGGAAGAAAGGACCTACTGGGCTCAGTCACAGGCAGCGGAATTAATGACCCTGGGCCTAACACCAACCCTGGGACCTATAGGTGCAATTATCGTCATCCTGTTACACGTTGCCATCTCTCTTCTTCTTCTTCTCTTGTCTCCTTTCTTCCACCGTGTCTGACAAGAAGTTCAGCTGAGGGAGGGAATGAGGAGCCAATGGCTGACTGCATCAGTGGACATTAATTGTGCATTTCCAAGGTGCTTTGGGACCAGAGAGCAGTTACTTGGAGACTTGATGGCAGATGTCACTGAAGATAGTTGCAATGAGACATCGATTCCCTGGCAACCGCTCGAAAGGCCCCGCTCTCTCGCTCCCTCCGTTTCTCTCTTTTCTTTATCCTGCGTCTTTTCTACCCATGACCTCCTTTCACCACCTCAGCGTCTCATTCACCATTATGATCTGTATCTGTCCATCTGTTTTCACTCCCACACAGCGTAGGTGTGCAGTAGAAAGATGCATAGATTGCCTGGCCACAGCACCAGAATGCTGTTTAACAAGGAACAGCGAAGACGCAGTGGAATAGATACACATTTTCACATGTCCCACCTTAACTGTCTTTTTTTTAAAGTCAAGCATTTACACCACAGGGTGAGAATCACATTTTTTTGTGAAAATTATGCATTCCTGTTCCCAAAAAAAAAAAGCATGTTGGATGAGGTTTGTTGATGAAAAACAAGCTCTATACATATACAATTACACACCTTCAACTTGCTGCCCAATTGTAAACAAACCATTACAGCTCCGAGACATGTGAAATCCAGCTTTAGCAGTTGGTCCACGCAATCAGTCAGCCAGCTAGGCAGCAAAACAAATATTTGCAACTGAAAGAAAAAAGACACGGAGCCAGAAAAACGGAGCAACCGGTCTTATTTGGAATACTGTTCTCTCTCATCAGATGGACTCTTTTAAATGGAAACTAAGCGGGACAAAGTCATTCCCTGTAATTACATGTCTCTGTGACACTGAGTCTTTTCTTCTGATCTGTTGTATTCTTTTCTTTTTAGGTCACACGGTAGCAAGACAGCCACTGAGCCACAAGGAAAACCTGAAACTCTCCATGTGGAAGAGATGGATGATTCTCACATACTTACTGCAGGATGGGGAAAATATCAAGGAAAAGGACCGCTGTCAGGCCATCCATCACAAAAATACGGATAAAAAGTGCTCAATGCAAACTATGTACACTTGGCTAAATGGAGCCAAACATAAAGCAGATACAGGATGCTGCTTTTTGAGACCAACGGCCTACAATCATGGACACCCAGGGTACTTCTGGATACTAATGGACTCATATTTATAAATGACGGACAAGGTGTGGACTGATAAAACAAAAAACAGGTATATTTCAAACACTGACCGGGTGTTTTAAATATGTAATTTATCAAATGTAAGCTGAGCTGCAGGATCCAGTCCAAACCGTCTATGTCGAGCTTCTACTCAGATAGTTAGAGCTGATCTCGGAGAAATGAAAGCGATAGCAGCTGATAACTAGCAAATAGCAAATTAGCATCCAATTGCTCTTGTGGATCGAGTCACACACACACAACGACTGTTTTGCGAGGAGTCGTTTTGCAGTTCTGATTAGGAATTGCAGTGTAGGAACATAACAGCATATTAAAAATTCATGTAAGATATTTGCACTAGTTGAAGCCGTTTGGGAATGTTTTGTTTTTCTAGATATCTCCCATCCTTTGCTGTGGATGTCACATGAAATTGCAGAAGAGCATTTTGTAAAATGTCTGACACTTGAAGTAGATAAATATATATATATATAAATATATCTTTCTCCCTTACCCCTGAGTAGTTATTGAATAAAATGGCTCGTACATTCGACCCGTGCTTACATAAAGCTTGGAATAATACAGAGTAGCAAAGTGTGATTCATCTGTCTCTCTTTTTTTCTTTGCTCAAAATATTTTCTCAACCTCAGCCTTCAAAGTTAGATATCTATGATCACCTCTATTCAGATTGTGACATCTCTTATGTTATCTGTTAAAAGGAGGCCCATAAAATGTTCAAACAAGGAGGACGAGTTGTCTGTATGTTGTTCTTTCAATCTATTGTGATCTTTCTGCTTCTTTTCACATGTTCAGGCTTTTACCTTTAAACGCACTTCAAGTGGAGGACAGCTGTGTGAATTGAGTTTTCAATCCTCTTTCCATAAAAACACAGCATGTTTGCACCCCAAACATTAATATTTTAGTCAACCACCCTGCCACCAATAGCTGAACCAGTTTAACTTTCTTTACTTGTCATGCACTTCTACCCTTGGGATACAAAGTGTTTTTTTCTCCATTTTTAAATGAACATTTTCTTCATAAGCACAATGGCTGAATTCCCTCAACAGCTCTTTTATATCTCTAAATTTTGACTGTCCAGATTTATTCAGACTCCTTCTGTTTGTCTCTCTTTTCTAGCGCATTGCATATCATACAGAAGATGGCACACTTAAAACTTCATTTCTTAGCTGCTTGTACAAGTGTGCTACTTTTTCACCCTCGTGCTTCCCAAATACATTTTTCTTTTGCTGATACACATTCAAGAGCAAGTCCTCCTCAAACTGTTTCTGTCTGCCTCTCTGATATGTGAATGTGTCGGGTCAGTGTGCCCAGGGGTTGGCCCGCCGGGAGGCTGCTCCTCTGCGACTGAGAGCCTCTGCTTTCAGACATGCTGCTTTGTGAGCTATGATAAATCTGTGGGAGCTGAGCTGCTGCCTCTCCAGCGCCAGCACCAGAGCTGAGCTCTGAGCCGGAGGGAGCTGGGGGACAGCAGGGCTACCAGTGGCAGGCAGCTCCACTCTCTCATTACTGAGAGGCCTGGATAGCACCAGGCTCCTCTCGGGACCACTGACATGGAATATTTTTAGGCCTACAGTCACACCACAATGCCCTCTTTCCTTGAGCAGTGTCTCAGCAACAATAGTCCATTTAGAGTGGGAATACAATGACTTTCTGCAACTGCACACAGATTTTGGCTTTGCACACAAGCAAATACAACTCTATTCACACAGACTGAACTATTCTGAACTTTGAACAGCTTCCCATCCTGCATCAAGCATCAGAATGCAGACACTTCAGTGGGAGAACGAGACAGTGACAAGCTTTAATTACAGCGCAGACAAAGCAAAAATTTCTCCAAAGCTTTTCAACATCAAACCATGTGAGGGCTCTGTTTTCCTTTCCTCACCCTCCCTGCTCCCCTCATTCTCTCCCCCTCTGTCGATCCCTCCTCATAGTCTCACCCTCTGAGGTCTGCTGTTCTGCAGATGAGCCTGGCGCCTTGTCTCCATCCTTACATGGCTCTCTGCAGCAGAATCAATATTTGAGGACAATTTGCGCTGCGCTGCTCCCTCATGGCTCAGGTCTGATGCTGCAAGTCCAACTTTAGTTCCAACCTCGCTGAGACTTTAGCAGGGATAGATTCACAGCTTATCTGAGGTCACCACTATTTAACAACAAAATCTGCAGAGCACAAAGTGTGTATATTTGCAGCTTTGGCGAAGGCTGGATGGCCCTGCAGCAGAGCAGTTTTTCACTCCTCTGCCTCTGACGATTTATGAGGGAGAAATGACTGAACTCACTATGAAGCCTTGAGGTGTCTTGGAGGGATTTTGCATTTCATATTCACATTCAATGAGATAGTAGATGGCATGCAAATTAGGCAGGTCCCAGGCCCATGTGCAGGTCTTTACATTATTTGCGGGGAAAACTCTTCAAAACCCTCTCCAACATCCTTGTTACCAGCTGGCTGAAAATTAATGATAGATAAACAGGCTGCAAGAATTGCACAAACAGGGACATTATTCAGCGTTGAAAAAAAAGTCCTCTTGTTTTTTAAACTGTGTCTGTAGAGTGTCAACAGGGGTCTAACCTACTAAATGTCCCACAGAGACTGGTTGCTTTCAACTCCACGGGTTCGCAACTGGTTGGACCCAGAGGGCAAGACCCACAGAAGCAAACAAACAGCATGGAGGCCATGAATGCAGAATAACATGCTAATGAGAGCCAGATAGGCAGTTTGAGTGGGAATGGAAGCAGAAGAACGATGGGCTGCCGAAAAGAAAACATAGATAAAAGGGTGAAGCTATGGCGTCTGAGAGAGGAGGGGAAAGAAGAGTATTTTAAGTATGTGTTTGTTTATGCACAAAGCCCCGGTGTCTCCCAAGAGGCCGCTTCCATCGTCAAACCAAACGCCTCCAATAGTCCATCATCACACTCGTCTGCAATTCACACAATCGGTACCAAGAGAGGGAGAAATAAAGGGATGAAACAGCATTGTCTTGGCTTATGCATCATCTTTTGTCAAGTCCAATTTGTATTAGCCTCCAGCCATTTCCAGGAAATATGGCTTGAGATTCATGTTCAGCGAGAATGGTAATCTTCAGATGAAGTGAGTTTGTCAGAGGCACAGAGATTTGTGACAACTCGAGTTGACTCAGGGAAAAAAAAAGAAGAAAAAAAAGAGCTTTCCTAGTGCAGAGGGAACAGACTCAGAGTCCTGTCTAAAAACTGACATTGATTTAATAAAAGTCAGAGAGAGATTAGCTGATGAGGAAGATCTGATTGGTATTATCAGCTCAGATAGCAGTCGTTGCTCTTGTCACTGTCACTTGAGAGTGAACCAATCATCTCCAGCCAAAATGTTGTTTTCAAAAGATCAAATCTTTAGCCTAATAACCATGACATATAATTACTCCAATGGGCTCAGACATGTGCACAAACACTCCCAGAAATGCATTATTCAGACTCTTTCTCGCTATATTCAGGCCTTTTACCACCAGCTCACTTGGGAAGTCACTGCTGTCAGTCTCCTTCATTCAGTATTCCAGCGCAGCATTTGAGATTAGTGCAGCGTGGTCATGTGACTCCACTGGCTACCACAGCTGGTTAGCCATCAGGTGAAGGCCTGGAGATTAATTGCATTAGCTCCACTCTCTTACCCAGCATAGAAAATGTGACAAAAACACCACAAAACAACCCATTAAATATTCAATGAAACCACACATAAAAAACGGCAAACAATCAAAAGTGTCTTTAATATTCATTTTGCGGCAGGCCTGCGACGGGCCGATATTGACGGTGGAGTGAACGAGGGGATTCATTAACATCTTCTCCTTCACTGCTTCCTTTTCGCTGAGCCGTTCCTTGCTGCGTCGTCAAACTCACTTATCTCTCTGAAGCAATTAGCCACTGGAGGCTCCATTGACCTGAGCCTTTGTTAGACTAACAGGCTACATTAGCATGGCTGCAGCCCGGCAGACTTGGCAATGCATGTGTCAGTGCCAATGTGAGCAGCACTGATAAAGAAGGCGCCCTGGGGTGTGCATGTGTGTGTGTGTGTGTGTGTTTGGAAGTCTGCAGGAAACGCACACTAGCAAATCAACTGACCACTGCTATTGTGCCATTTGTTTCGGATGCATATATATTCTTTATATATTTATTCATACCGCTCTTTGAATATGTGTGTGCGATGGAGCTCTGTTTGCACAAAGGGGGTGTGAATAACCAAGCAGCCAATGTAAGCAATTCATATCTGTATGCAAATTTGATTTTGACTCTTTACAGAACAAGATGCATCAAAACATCACCGATAACGTCCACAGCAGCTATCAGACACCAGCAATATACAATTTGATGTACAATAACTCCATTGTGTATTGGGAAATGTGGTGCAAGTGCAATGCAGAAAGTGACTGATTTAATTTAGTTTCGCTGGAGCTGTACAATTATTTACTGTATATACATGACAACATTATGAGTAGTTGGGCTTGTGGGGGGAAGGAGCTGCTTTCTGTCATCGCTGAACACAATGGCCTTTGGCACTCAGGCAGCAAACATGGACTGGGAACAATGCTATTTAAAGCCGATTTCCTATTAGGAGAAATTGCACTTACTTATCTGTCACATTCTGCCAACAATTCAACAAACTCTCTGACTTGAGAGAACATTACAACGGATGAACATTGTTGACATGTAAATATAGCTCTAAGATAAACAGCCTACATGTGGGGTTGGAGGAAAAAAATACTCTTCCAGTAGGTGTTTCAGTTTTTACATCAATGACAGCTAAGAATGCATTATTCATAATTAATTATCCCAGTGTGTTACTCCTTCCTTATTTACCAAATTAATGGTTTGTTTGCCTGAGAAATCTCCCCTGTCTGGTTTGTTGGGTGGAAAAGCAGCATCCTCATAAATTTCCCTGGCAGGTGAGGTATGGAGAGAGTGATGAGACAGAACAAGGGAGGATCAAACACACAGAAACAATTAGTTCCGCTGCCTCTGTGGCCGCAACGCTTTAACTTTACAATCACTGTGAGCAGAGACCCCAGAAGTTTTCCAAAACTGGTGGTAAATGTAGCACAAGATAGGCCCGACGGCTATCCTTGGTTTCTGTGAAGCTGTGTAAGTTCGTCTTTATTCCACTTTCTGCAAAAATATACCATGTTCCTAAACGAGGCAAACACATAAATCTGCATTGGCTAGAACAGCAGAAGTGCCTGTCATTTTGAAATCAAACACCTGTTATTATTTTTATGCTACGTTAGCCCTAACAGTGCTGTTTCCCTTGACATTTTACCAACATTCATCAAACACAGCTGACAAATCCTTGTTAAAGTGTACGTATGTCCCATTGATAAATGCTTCCACTTACATACTATAACTGACTGGAACTTTTTTCAGGCCCCTGCGGTTATAAGGGTTAGGGTAAAAACTACGAGTAAATATCGAGAGGGTTAACAGTGGTTGCTGCGATTGGACGGCAACTGAGCCATTTTAACTATTACCGAGAGCTCACCCAAACCCAAACCCAAGGATGCCAACCAAACTGCCATGCCAAATGTTTTGGAAGGAAACCCACAAAAGTACAAAGCAACAACTTTTGTTTGACAAACACCAGTTAAACTTGATTCAAAGTAATATTGACACCAACTGTTACAATATCATTTAGCAGAAGCTTTTATCCAAAGCGATGTATTTATGCAACCTACTGGGCATGGCCAGCGGGGGCAGGCAGGATCGCGTCTTGCCCAAGAACTCTTCACGCCAGCTTGCAGCCTAACATTGCAGGTGCAGTAGTAGTGGCAGGTAACATAGGAGCTATTCAGCTCTCGGACACCAGTGTCTTTGGGGACATGATGAAAGTTAGTGTTATACTTAGCTTTCTTATGAGCATAGCAATCTGCTAATGCTCACGCTTGTTCCCTACATAGAGGGGTGGGAGTGGGTCTTTAAGGTTAGTTCAAACTGTTTAAAATATTTTTGTTTGCCTGCAGAAAAAAAAAAAAAAGATTTCTCGGCAGCAGTTCATTAATTTCATAAATGCAACACGCTACAGTTTTTTAATATACTTTGTATAAAGGAAAAAAATGTATATATGTGCATTGTTGTCTTCATTTTAGATGCCAAAGGAGTTTTGTGGCTCCCTGTGTTTTCTTTTCTTTTGGAAACAGGTCCAAATGGCTCTTTGAGTGTTGACTCCTGACCAGCCTCTTGCATGCAGTGTAGGTTATGAAGCTGTTGGAAATAAACGAACATGGCCGATACAGAAAATTTAAAACATATATCCCATATATTTTTCTTAGACATGCCTCCTGACAGCAGTTTATTCTCACCATGCTGATTTATATGGTTCATTTTTCAGAGAAATTAAAGTTTTACCCAGTGATTTGATCGGAAACTGATGACTGATTGACACCTTTGTGGAAGCCTTTACATAGACTGACAAATCTTTTTTTAACTTTCTTTGTTTTCCCAAAAATATATCTACACATAAAAATAACACAGATGGTAAGTTCCGTGATTGTTTGGCTGGACAACATCATAGTGTTCTCAGAATTAAAAACATCCATCCTGGCAGTATTTGGCTTCGATTCTCACCTTGTGAATTGAGTGTTGTCCTTATTAATGTACAATCATCTTGACAGGGATTCTTGAAAAACACATGGTGCAGCTGCTTTAAACTTCTGCTTAAGAGATTAATCAACAGACTCTGAGAACAGACTGTGCAAGGCCGAAGAAAGGCTAAGAGCAGCAACCCCAAAAGCCCCTTGCACGTCTCAGAAAGTGCATCACTTATGTAAAAAATAACATTTTTTTACATAGTGCATCTACCTCAGGCCAAAATCCTGTTTATAATGCACCAAAGCACATTTTTCGTAAATATATTTGAATATAATTGTTATCACTGGCATTAAAAAAACCCTGAGGCTAAGTACCTCTTGAGTCTAGGTGTTCTCATTTGTTTAAAGGTGTATGTGCAATATATAACCAAGCTTCCCTTGACTGATTAATGTACCATCAAGGCACAATGAAATGGGGAAAACACTTAGGTAAACATGGCTGTAGGATCATGTTAATTTCAATGTTAAAACATGTTGAAAGTTCACACCCCTCCTGCAACTACAAAACCCAATTCCATTGAAGTTGGGAAATTGTGAAATACATAAATAAAATCAGAATGCAATGATTTGCAAATCCTTTTTCAACCTACATTCAATTGAACACACTACAAAGACAAGATATTTAATGTTCAAACTCATGAACTTTGTTTTTTTTTTTGTTTTTGGAAATGATAATTAACTCAGAATTTCATGGCTGCAACACGTGCCAAAGTAGTTGGGACAAAGGCAGATTTACCACTGTGTTACATCACCTTTCCTTTAAACAACACTCAATAAACGTTTGGGAACTGTGGAGACAAATTGTTGAAGCTTTGAAGGTGGAATTCTTTCCTATTCTTGCTTGATGTACAGCTTCAGTTGTTCAACAGTCCGGGGTCTCCGTTGTCATATTTTACGCTTCATAATGTGCCACACATTTGGGAGACAGGTCTGGACTGCAGGGAGGCCAGTCGAGTACCCGCACTCTTTATCTACGAAGCCACGCTGTTGTATTACGTGCAGAATGTGGCTTGGCATTGTCTTTCTGAAATAAGCAGGGGCGTCCATGAAAAAGACATTGCTTGGGTGGCAGCACATGTTGCTCCAAAACCTGTATGTACCTTTCAGCATTAATGTTGCCTTCACAGATGTGTGAGTTACCCGTGCCTTGGGCACTAATGCACCCCCATATCATCACAGATGCTGGCTTTTGAACTTTGCGTCATATCTGGAACCTTGCAGGTGTATGTCCCACCCTTTTTCAGAGTAACATGTTATTTACTTTTCCACAAACTTTACTACATGACTTTTCTTCCTTCCCATCTAGCCAAACATTGCTCTATTTCCAATCATCTACCTGTTTTGGAGTCCAACCACCTAGTCCAGACAACTTATAAGGGTCACTAATGAGAGCAACTGTCAAATCTCTCTCCCAAGTCTCGGTCTCCCCTGAGCCAAATCCTCAAGCCCAACCTCAATGTCTATGTCTCCTTTC